AGTAAGAAGCTTTCTTGAGGGATGCTACATAAAAAGTCTTCTTTATAGATGTCACAATGAGAAACTATTGTTGATTTATTCAAATATGATGATAGGATATAAATATATATATATCCTATCCATATATATTTAATGTTCTCATTGTCCTGGGCTTACTTGAAAATAATATGGAAGTGGGGAAAGAATAAGAAGAAAAAAAGAAAGAGGAGGAGGAGAAGGAAGAAAAGAAAAAAACAAAAACAGATGGGCTACAGGAAGATAATTATTTAAATCAATGAATGGAGTCATAATAGTTACCACAAATGTTAAGGTGAAACAAAGAAATTTTTAGGTAACAAGAAACACAAAGTTTGTTCTCAGAAGACCTGCAGTAAAGATGCTAAAGGAAGTCCTTCAGGATAAGGCCATTGATCCCAGATGAAACTAAGACTCATAAGCAGGAATGGAGAGCACAGAAATGGTATGTAGGTGAAAAATAAAAATAAAACACTTAGGTTATTTTAAATACATGTGACAGTGTAAAGCGAAAACAGCGTCTGGTGGGTTTATAAGTAGATGCAGTAAATGACAACAAAAAGAGAGGAGGTTGAGAACTACACTGTTGCACCGTTTTTGTTTTTCATTTTTACATAAATAGTAACTCTAAGTAGACTCTGAAAAGCTAAAGATGCATATTGTACTTCCTAGCAACAATTTAAAAGAGTAATTAAGGAGGTACCCTAAAAGGCAATAAAGGAATTCAAATGGAATACAAAAAAATGTATTAACTCAAACCAAGGCAGAAGAGGAGAAATATAGTTTCGGAAAACAGATGGGACAACTAAAACAAAATTGAAACTTGGATTCAACTGTATCAATAACCATATTCAATATAAGGGGACCAGACCCTCAAAAAGAGAAACAGTAGTTGTCAAATGAACTGAAAACAACAACAACAAAATTTAACTGTGTCCTGACTAGAAGGGATACACTTTAAATGTGAAGACACTGATTGGCTACAAGTAAAAGGAGAGGAAAAGATACAACGTGCAAATAGTAAGTATGAAAAGTAGGATGGCAATGTTAGTATCAGACAAAATGCACTGGGAGACAAGGGTGTGGTACCTGAGGGATGGAGAGGGACATTTTATAATGAGAAGAGGATCAATTCATTAAGAAGTCATAATGATTACAAATGTGTATGTATCAAATAACAGAGTTCCAAATTACATAAAGCAAAAACAGATAGAATTAATAGAACTAAACAAAAAATTAGTAAGAATATAGAAAAACTGAGCAATTTTTAAAACCACCTGGGTCTAATATTTACAAAAAACTAGACCCGACAACTTTCATATATATATATTCTTTTTAGGAGCAAAATAATGTTCACCAAGGTATATGATTTCTTGGTCCACAAAATCAGACTTAATACATTTCAAAATTGTTGAAGTCCTAAGAATCTTCTTTAACAAAATGCAATAAGTTTGAGATTAATTAAAATATATAAAAAATATGCAAATATTTGGAAATTTATTCACTTATAAATAACCTCTGATCAAAGAAGAAATCACAAGGGAAATTAGAAAATATTTCAAATTGAATGATAATGAAAATATATGTCTAAGTGTGTGGGATGCAGCTTAAGCACAGCTTCGAGGGAATTATATCATTTAAATGCTTATAGTAGAGAATAAAAAAAGGGTTTAAATTAATTATCTAAATCTCCACCTTAAGAAACTAGGAAAAATAGAGTTGGCTCTGGTGGAGGCAGCCGGTGCGAGGCGGGGGGCTGAGCCTCGTGTCCTGCCCTGTGCTGCCTGGACCATGGAACAGTACGGTCAGGACGGCTAAAAGGTGATCCCTAGCCGCCGAAGGGCACGATCTACTTCTGCCTTCTTTGTGCAGACATGCAGAGAGGAACAGAAGAAGAAAAACCCCAAGGCTCCTGTCAATCTCGCAGACTTTCCAAGAAGCGCTCTGAGAGATGGAAGACGACATCAGGGGAAGAGGAATTTAAATCTGATGAGATGGCAAAGGCAGACGAAGTGCTGCGGTTGGGAAGTGAAGGGTTATGGACCAGCTAAGGGGGTCAGGAAAAAGGAGGACCCTAATGCCCTCAAAAGGCCATCATCTGGATCTTCCTGTTCTGTCCATGATTCTGCCTCAAGATCAAGTCCACAGACCCTGGCATCTATTGGAGATGTGGCAAAGACGCTGGGTGAGAGGTGGCATCTCAGTGACAGTGGAAAGCAGCCCTACAACAAGGCTGCAGAGCTGAAGGACAAGTGCGAGAAGGATGTCTCGGACTGGAAGTCTCAAGGAAAGTTTAATGGCACAAAGGGTCCCGCTCAAGTTGCTTAGAAAAATGTGGCAGAGGAAGACAAAGAAGAGGAGGACAGAGAGAAGAGGGGGGAGGGGAGAAGGAAGGGAATAATCCCACTGTTTATCTGTGTCCTTGCGATTACCTTAGAGTAGGGGAGCGCCCTAATTGACACAGCTCTTATTTGAGAGGTGTCTGTTGCCCTCGTTAGGATTCATTACACAATTGGATCATGTTCATATGTAGTCTCTCAAAGTGCTCTAGAAATTGCCAGTGGTTTACATGAAGTGGCCATGGGTGTCGAGCATCCTGAAACTGCGTCCAAGTTGTACATACTGCCAAACACTTTCAGAATGAAAGGGCTCCTGTGTTCTCACTCTGCGCACTTTGCTGTTGGTGTGACAAGGCATGTGAAGATGTTTCTGGCATTTTCTTTTTTAATCTGTAAAGTGATGTTAACTCTTTGGTCATTGGCTAGAAACCATGAGTTACCAACTGTACATATCTATAGTTTGTAAAAAACAAACAAACAAAAACACCAACAACCAAGACAAGCTCTCGATGCTCTTGCTTGGCAAGGCTGTGCAGAAGATGCTTCTGGAGGGCTCTAGCCCAGGGCGTGCACTGTGAGCCTGGGCCTGTGGACACTGCATGGGATCCACTGAGCTTCAGGTCGGCTTGATTTGTGTACAGTGGCACAGCATTCTGCCGTTCTGAGCTGTGGAAAAGGAGGGTCAGCTGGCATGAGGAGTGTCTGGATCTTTTTTTAGTTAAGTGCGGTAGTTTGAAACTGTTGTTTTAAAACAAATTGCACAACTAACTCTTCATTGTTGGCAAAGTGAAGAGTCTCTCTGCATCAGTGAGAGTTCAAGAACCTTCTGTACTAAACACAATTTGGAATGTTTTGTTATTTTTTTTTATGTTTAGAATGCTGAAATATTTTATGAAGGTAAAAAAAAGTATTGCATTAAAAAAAAATCAGAAAAAATAGCACTGGCCGGTTTGACTCAGCGGTTAGAGCGTCGGCCTGCGGTCCCGAGAGACCTGGGTTCAGTTCCCACTAAGGGCAGGTACCTTGGTTGTAGTTTGGCTCTGGCCCTGGTTGGGTCATGCGGGTGGCAGCCACTCGATGTATCTCTTTCACATCGATGTCTCTCTCTCTCTCTTCCTCTCTATCTGAACAAAAAAAATGGAAATGTCCTCAGGTGAGGATAAAAAAAAAATCAGAAATAATGGTTTGGTGGTGATGAACTCCTTTAACTTTTCCTTGTCTGGGAAACTCTATGGCCATCAATTCTAAATGACAGCTTTTCAGGATAGAGTAGTCTTGGTTGTAGGTTCTTGTTTTTCATCACTCTGAATATTTCTTGCCACTCCCTTCTGGCCTGCAAAGTTTCTTTTGAGAAATCAGCTGACAGCCTTAAGGGAAGGAACTCCCTTGTAGGTAACTAACTGCTTTTCTCTTGCTGCTTTTAAGATTCTCTCTTTGTCTTGAACCTTTTGCATTTTGATGATGATATGTCTTGGTGTGGGCCTCTTGGAGTTCATCTCTGTGCTTCCTGGACTTGTATGTCTGTTTCCTTCACCAAGTTAGGGAAGTTTTCTGCCATTATCGTTTCAAACAGGTTTTCAATTTCTTGTTCTCACTCTTCTCCTTCTGGCACCCCCAAGATGCGAATGTTGGCACACTTGAAGTTGTCCCAGAGGCTCCTTACACTCTCCTCATTTTTTTGGATTCCTTTTTCTTTCTGCTGTTCTGATTGGGCATTTTTTGCTTCCTTATATTCCAAATCAATGGTTTGCTTCTATTGAATCTGTGTAAATTATTTTTTAATTCAGTTAATGCCTCCTTCATTTCTGACTGTGCATCCATCATTTCTGACTGGTCCTTTTTTTTTTTTTTTTTTATCACCACCAAACCGTTATTATATGAAATGATGAAGGGTCTTTTTGAAGAAAAAGATAAAATATATGAACAAACAAAATGACAATGAATACATATCTATCAGCAATGGAATCTACAAACAAAATGAGCAAGCAGAACAGAAACATTCTCATAGATACAGAGAACATTTTGTTGGTTGCCAGATGGGAGGGGGTTGGGGGAATGGGTGAAAAAGGTGAAGGGATTAAGAAGTACAAATTCATTGCTAGACAAATTCATTCCTCAAAGGGAAAGGGGTTGGGGGGTGGGAAGAAATAAACCAAAGAACTTACATACATAACCAATGGACACAGACAATAGTGTTGGAAAAGGTGGGAGGGGGCGGGAGTGGGGAGGAGGGGATCAATGGGGGAAAAATGAGGAAGAGTCTGTAATACATTCAACAATAAAGATTAAAAAAAAAAACCCAGAAAAAATAGCAAATTATACCCAAAGTGAGTAGAAGAAAAGAAATAATAAATAGTAAAAATCAATAAAACGGAAGATGGACAAACAATAAAAAAAGCTGTTTAAAAAAAAGAAATAAAATCGACAAGCTCCTAGAGTAACCGAGGAAAAAAGAGAAAACACAAATTATCCAATACCAGAAAATTTAAAAAGGGACTATTTCTATAAATCCTACAAACATTAAAAAGGCAATAAAATAAAATTATCAATAATTTTATACCCCTATGCTCAACATTTTAAATAGTTGTTGTGTAGATTCCATAGATATTAGTGTTCTGAACTAAAGTTCTGTATCTTTCTTCGTAGGTTTGTCCAGGACCAGTTTTCAGAAAGGATACAAGTGGCCAAAGTGGATTTCTCCACGGTGTTACCACGCTTCATTTCTCTCTACATCTTTTCCTTTCTGAGCCCAAAAGATCTGTGTGCAGCCGCACAAGTCAGCTGGCCCTGGAAGTTTTTAACTGAACAGGTTTACTGTTTGTCACTTTGTAGCATGGGGACCCAAATACAATAGTAATTTGTAATGAAGCTATCGGGGTAACTTTCTTTCCTAAAGATAACTGAGGGTATCTGAACCACAGTAAACTTATTCTTAGAAAAAAAAATGGGGGTAAGTCAAATACAGTCGTTTATTTTGTAAGTAAGGGGATATACACTATTCTAATAATTCATGCATTTTTTTAATCCTCACTCGAGGACATTTTCACATTTATCTTGAGATAGAGCGGGAGGAAGAGAGAGAAACATTGATGTGAGAGAGACACATTAACTGGTTGCCACCCACATAACCCCAACCACGGCCGGGCACAAACTGCAACCAAGGTACGTGCCCTTAGCGGGAACCAAACCCGGGACTCTGGTCCAGAGGCCAACGCTCCAATCGCTGAGCCAAACTAGCCAGGGCAATTCATGCATTTTTAATAATTTTTTTTAAGATTCATTCTTTTTTGTTTTAATTTTTATTAATTTATTTTTGTTGCAGATATTTCTCCTTTTTCCCCCCTAGACACCCTCTTCCCGCTCCTGCCCCACCCCCAGCATTGTTGTCTATGTCCATTGGTATTTTTAATAACTAAAAATGATTTTTTTTTCTTTACTGATTTTAGAGAAAGAGGAAGGGAGAGGGAAAGAGATATAGAACCATCAATGACAGAGAACATCGATTGACCACCTCCTGCATGCTCCCCACTGGGGATCAGGCCCACAACCTGGGCATGTGGCCTGGCTGGGAATCGAACTGGTGACCTCTTGGTGCATGGGTCAACGCTCAACCACTGAGCCACACTGGCTCGGCTATTTTTAATAATTTTTAAATACTAAATTATTTAGAAAATATTTTATCTTGGCAAAGAAAAACATTTTTTCATAAAAATTATTTATCTTTGCTTTTTATATAATATTATTTTACTCATGAAAATTCACCTTCGAGATTGCTGTACAACCACAATTTCAATTGAGCTCTCTTCGCCTAATATCTATAGAAGATGATAAGGCTGTCTCTGGCCTATTGGCCTCTTTATTTCCTTTGAAAAGACTTAATAAAATGTAATGGCAGACATACTTTAAAAAGAAGTCAATAATTGACTTCTTTAACCTCAGAGAACAGCTCACTCTCTGTGATGGGGCCACATGCAAATGCCAACTGTGAGCCCTGGGTTTATTGCCATAAAAACAGCCAGGCCTAGTTGTTTGCATGGTGTATTGTTCTCCGTCTTTCTACTTTCAACCTTTCTATGTCCTTGTATTTTTAAAGAATATGTCTTATAAGCAGAATATGATAGTGGAGGTTTTTTAACATTTAGCAAGCTTTGACTTTTAGCTGTGGTAATTTGCTGTGCTTACATTTATGTAAATACTATTTATTTTGTTTTTGTTCCATGTGGTTTGTATTTTGTTTTTCTCCCTGTCTTCTTTTGGAGTACTTAAATATTTATTTATTTTTTATTGTGAATTGTGAATTCTTTAGAAGGTCTTTCATGGCTACCCTAGAGATGACAGCATCATGCCAGGACAATTGGCCACCTATGAGATAATGCCAAGAGCTTAGAACCTTTATCTCCAGCCCTGCCCCCTTGTTTCTATGCATTTGTTGTCAGACATTTTAATGTGACATATAATTTTATATATATTTAACTATACAGAAAAGAGACAAACAAATGTTTATATATATAAATATATATAATATAAAAATAATAATTAAAAAAGAAAATTGTAATTGTAATAATTAAAAAAGAAAAAATAATAATTAAAAAAGAAAAAGACTATTACAATTTTCTTTTTTAATTATTATTTTTAAATCACAGTTTACAGTCAATATTATCCTGTATCAGTTGCAGGTGCACAGCACAGTGATTAGACAATCATGAACTCTACAAACTGGTCCCCCTGAAATTCTAGTACCCACCCAGAACCATAGTTATGATACTATTGACTGTATTTCCTGCTGTAATTTACATCTCTATGACTATTTTATAACTACTAATTTATACTTCTTAATCCCTTCACCTCTTTCACCCACCCCTCAACCCTTCTTTATTACTATTATTTTATATACTCAAATATTTATTTATAAGTAACAACATATTTATATATTCTGTTGCTCTTTATACCTTCCTCTGTCTCCGAGTCTCCATTTGGGATCATTTTCCCTTCTGAATTCTTTTCAATATTTCTTTTCATGCAACTTGCTGCTAATAAATTCTCTTAGTTTTTATCTGAAAACGTCTTTATTTCACCTTCATATTTAAAGGCTAGTGTCACCGGAAATTTGAACTCTAGGTTGGCAGTTAATTTTTTAAAGTATTTTGAAATTTTTTCATGGTTCTCTGGCTTCTATAACTGTTTTGAGAAGTAGGAAGTTTTATAGTTGTTCCTTTAAAGGTAAAATTTCTGTTTGCTTGTTGGGATGTTTGTCTCGCTCTTTTGTGTAATTTTATTATAATATACCTACCGGGTGTGTGTGTTTATCCTGTTTTGTGCTTTGCAGTGATTTTTGGATCTGAGATTTCAGGTCCTTGATCCATTTTGAAAATGGATCTTAGATGCTGTCTCTTTACATATTGCTTCTGCCCCATTTCCTGTCTTTTCCTAGTGGGATTCCAGTACTTACTTACCTTAGACTGATTTACCATATCCCGGAAGCCTCATTCTCTCTTTTCCTTTCTTTTGGCTGTCAGTGTTTCAGTCGGAATGTTCTTCTGGCCTGTCTTTCCGTTTACCTCTGGTCTGTCTTCCAGCTAATTACCTCTTTAGCTGGATTCTAATCTGCTCTTAAACTAGTCCATCAAGTTCTAAATGTCAGCTATCATATTTTTCACTTCTAGAATGTTGATTTAATTATCTTGACAAAATTTTCCACCTAGCCATTTAATTTCTTAGGCAGATTAATTATAGTATTAATTATAGGTTTGTTTGTTTTTAATGTTCATGTCTGATAATTACAACATCTGGATTTCCTGAGAGTCTCTCTCTATTGACTCAAAGACAAGAGAAAAAATGAATAATTTTGTGTGCCTCGTATTTTTGATTGAGTACCAGATACTGAGTATAAGAACTTAATGTGATAATTTGAATCTCTGGATGATATTATCTTCCTCCAGAAAGAATTTGATTTTGGTTCTGGCATTTGGTTCAGCTAGGGATAGATCCTTAAATCCAATAAGAGGATGAGCTATTTCAAAGCTAGCTTCAGTCCTGGTGACAGTTTGTCCAATTCCTTATCATCCTTACAGAAAAGGATCTCAATTGAAAGCCTGGTGTGGTTACCAGGGCTCCTCCTCTTAGTGGACCCTGAATTTAAATTTGTTTTCTTTCCTCCCTGTGAGAATGCCTAAAAGTCTTTATAACTTCGTAGCTTTCTGCTCTGCTTGTCAGCCTACATGTCTTTTGGATCTGTCAAACCCGCCGATTTGAAGGTGATGCTCACTGTCAGGCTCACCTCCGAATTTCCTCTCTCTGGGCTCTTGGCTGCCCAGGTCCTTTTTTGTTTTTTTAAATTGATTTTTCAGAGAGAGAGAGAGATAGAAACATCAATGTCAGAGAGAAACATCAATTGGCTGCCTCCTGCACGCCCCCTACTGGGGATGGAGCCTGCAACCCAGGCACGTGCCCTGACTGGGATCGAACCGGAACCTCTCAGTCCATGGGATGTCGCTCAATGCACTGAGCCACACGGGCCGGGCTGCCCAGGCCCTTTTTGCACTGGGTAGCTCTCTACAATGACTGCAAATAATGATTGTATAATAGTCTGTCTAGATATTTAATTAGATTAAACCACATGAAATTTGCTGTTTTCATATATAAAACTGGTTGTGTATTGGCAATAGCATATGGTTCAATCCAAGTTGTTCTCTGTGGGAAGATTTGGTCTGAAACAACTATACCATTGCTAGAAGCAGCAGTCTCAGGATCTAGGGTTCAAGTAACCAAATGCCATGGGAGTACTAGCTGAGAATGCAGAGATGACTAATACATACAATCATGGACTATATAGATGTCCATCAAAGAATAGTCTTGCCACGGAGAAAGGAATGTCCCTTATTTCTCGGAGTCAAGTTTAGATGGCACGTCCACTGCACTAGAAATCTCAAAGTATTAAAAAAATTATCTGTGCACCTGAAAGCATTATTACTAGGAAATTGACCTTTAAAAAAATCCTCACAGCCCTGGCCGGTTTGGCTCAGTGGTTGGAGTGTCAGCCTGCAGACCAGGGAGTCCCAGGTTCAGTTCCCGCTAGGGGCATGTACCAAAAAAAAAAAAAAAAAAAGGGAAAAAAAAGGAAAAAAAAACCCTCACAACTCATCTTTCTCATTTCTTTCTCTGCAGGATTGTTTATGGATGCCCAAATGCATCAAGTTTGGATGGTTTCTGCCCTATACTGCAACAGAGCACGAATATGGCGCTTGGAAGCACCACTACATTGCTTGTGTGTCCAACTTAGACTGGCTGACGCCTAGGGAAGCCGCTGCTACTTACGGGACCCTGAATGAACCCAAAGGAGAAGATGAGGAGCTACAGGCGAGACAAAGAGAAAAGTGCCTAAGGAAAATAATCTGGGAGAAAATTGCACTGCGCAAGAGTGAGTAGCATTTCAAAACTTCACATCGTTTGGCTTGTTTCACTTAGGATGATACTTTCCAGGTCCCTCCATGTAGTCTCAAAGGATAAGAGATCTTTTGATCTCACTTATATGTGGAATATAATGAACATAACAGTCTGAGGAATGGGGTAGTCCCAGAGACGTGGAAGTAGGGTACAGACTGACAATTCCCAGAAGAGGGGGTGGTGGGGGAGAGATAAACCACAGAACTTATATGCATGTGTGCATGAACAGTGGACATGAACAACAAACTGGGGAAAGGGCAGGGAGGGAGGGGGAGGGGGCAATCAGTGGGGGGAAAAGGAGAAACATCTGTAACAAAAATTAATCAATAAAAAGAAAAAAGAAATAAATCCATTTAAACTGACCTCAGATATATCTAGTAATACATGGTTTATTTGATTCTTCATTCTGGAAACAATATGACATTAAACTGCAAAAATAATGTATAAAAAGAAACAAAAAAACTTCACATCATAATCCTGTGCTGTAGACACCGGCGGATTTCCATGCAAGTCCCCGTGGAGGAGCATAGTGCTGTCTTTCTGGAACCGCGTGTGGGTGGCGTTCTCCAAAGTGTGTTCAGGACAAGCTCTTTTTTCCTTCACTGTCTATTTCAAGTTAATTAATATGCAAAAAAGATTTCAGATGAACTACATAAGGTCAAATACCAGTGTCTCCATGGCTGTCCTAGTTTTTCTCAAATTTATAAGACCAAAGGTGAGGAGAGAGAGGTATGAACATGGGTGAAAGCAAACAAACAGGTTCAGGACAGTTCAGAAGAAGTGGAATTGGTGAAAAAGCAGGAGAAATGAAAATGAGAACGAAGGCAGGAAGAATGGCTTTTTTTTTTTTTTACGTGGAAAGGGAGCAGGGACAAGACACATGTTCAGCCGAGCCTTCTGATTTGTGTGGCAAGTTAATCAACAAAGCTGACTTGAGTTCTCCCATCTTTTTTATTTTTATTTTCTACTGACACACCCTCTGTGAGATCGTAACAAATGGGAAATTACTTGAAACCAAGAAGAAGGGCAGAAATGGATGGGAAGCCTATAAATTAACTGGTTTTCACAAGAAAAGAGTTGCTTGTTCTCTTTGTGTCTTGACCTGAAATGACTGGGAACTTGCACCCATAGTGCTGACGGGCTCGGAAATCCAAACAGAGTCTATAAAAGTGGCTATAATGATTGCCATTTGGAATATTGCCCTGGTGCAGCTTTATTTTTTGATGCTTTTATCTATGGAGCCTTGGCTGGGAGAAGCGTGCAGTAAACAGCCAAGCCGGCTGCTGTTTGTTTTTCAGGGGAGTTATTCCGAGTCCGACCTCCCTGGGTGAGTGGAACAGGCTGCTCTAGATTTTTCGAATCCCGATGCCGTCCACGTCTCCCCGCGACTGTGAGGGATCGAGTGGGATTACGTGAAGCTTTGGAGAAGCAGCTTGTGTTGGCATCCTTAGAAGCTTTGCCCAAGCGGTAAGCAAACCTCCATCTCCTGAAGGCTCAGGACCAGCCCCTTGGTATCTAGAATGATTCCAAGAATTCATTCTAGAACAATCTAGTTAACATGCAGGATCTTTCATAATTATATGGCTCTTATCCTTTGATATAGCAAGAACAATGGTCTTTATTATTTTTTTATTTTTTAAATCCTCACCCGAGGATATTTTTCCATTGATTTTCAGGTAGAGCGGGAGGGAGGGGGAGAGAGAGAGAAACATCGATGTGAGAGAGACACATCGACTGGCTGCCTCCTGCATGACCCCAACCAGGGCCAGGAATTGAATCATAACCAAGGTACGTGCCCTTGACTGAAATCGAACCCGCAACCCTTTGGTCCGCAGGCCAACGCTCTAACCTCTGAGCCAAACTGGCCAGGGCAAGAATAGTGGTCTTTAACATGCTTTCTGAAGAGAGAAACATATGACATTCAAAATTTATATTTTAAATAGTATTAACTCTGCAAAGAGGCCATATTGTAGACGTAGTATTTTTTTCTGTATAAAGTTATTGAGCAAAAATAGCGTTTTTTTTCAGAAATGAGTTTTAGGGTGTAAACATGTCCAGATGATGATGTGGGGTGGGGGTGACTGAGGAGAGAATGAGCACGTTACTCGGAAAACCGTGAGGCCTGATGATTAAGGGAATTAAAAATCTCTCTGAGGCCGCTGTTCAAAATATCGTTTTGAACCCCTAAGTATGTCACTACATTCATTGTAAATGTCCTCAAAAGCTAAGGAAGTTCCAAGAGAAATTTCTGACATTCCACAGATGGAGGAGAGGCCCAGAGGGCAGCCTTGACCCCAACCCGCCCCGAGACCCATTTGCTTTTGTGTCCAAACTGCAGGGAGAGACTGAGGTGCTGAGCCACCTGCCTTGTATACAACAGAACTGATGGCTACAGAGAACATGCTGTTCAAGTTAAATTAAGAGCAAATGAGCCCAGCCCGGCAGTGTGGCTCAGCTGGCTGGAATGTCGGCCATACACTAAGGGGTGGCGGGTTCAATTCCTGGTCAGGGCACATGCCTAGGTTGCAGGTTTGATCCCTGGTCAGGGGAGTGGGGGAGGCAACTGGTTGATGTTTCTCTTTCACATTGATTCACACTCTCTCTAAAAAAAACAAAAACAAAAAACAATAGAATTTTTTTAAATGTTTAAAAAAAGAGAGAGAAAATGAGAACCTCACTTATTCCCCCCTTTCTTTCCCCTACAGAAGTAATGTTTCTGGAAGACATTCCTACCCTTTATTATCAAAGAAAAATTGGCGTGGAGTTTTTAAGAATGATGACAGCCCTTCACATGCCTTCCAGACACACTTCATATTAATATCATCTCGGATTCCTGCATATGAGGTGCGGAGTATGTCAAGAGGCCAGGCCTTTTATGAATCAAGTTTTTCATTGACACTAGAGATTATATAGCAACCTTTTGGCCACCATGTGTATGAAAATAATTCAGCTCCTAAAAGAAAAGTGGTCTGATCTAAGTGGAACTTTACAGAGCCAAACAGTTTTAAAAATGAGAAGCAATAAAGATAACCATAAATTAAAATTATATATTTTAAAAGCATTAAAGGCCTAAACTGCCTTGTATTTAGTAGGTATCCAATAAATTCTTATTGAATTGAATTTGTTGCACTTAATCCACAAAAGAGCAAGGTGATTACAGATTATTTTAAAACTTTTGGAATGCCCAAGGAATTTAATGATACCATATGCCTCCCATCTCTCAAAAGAATAATGTCAGAAATCCTGTTTTGCAATCTATTTAATGAGGATGTCATTAAATTAAAACATGCAATTTCTATAATGGTTATATATTTTAATTTTAATATGAATTAGAGAAATAAATATATATACATTAATACACACATAGGGACATACGTAAGTGAATAAATGTAGTGGGTTATATCCATTGGCCTACTTATAGTTTAAAAAAAATTCTTATTTGTAACAAAATGTTTGTTTTATGAAGTCACTTCTATCTCTGGGCATCTAGGAATGGACCGTGATCATTTACAACAGCTAGCTTAGCTGGTCCTCATGGAGCAAGATCAGAGTTTGATCTCCACATGGGCTGCAGATAGTTTCCTTAACGTTTAAAAATGCGTCACGCTGGGCACAGAGGATAATTGGTGACAGAGAATGGATGAATGCACTGGTATAAAATAGGTCCATTCTCCTATGTGTCTTCTTTATATAAGGTGATGTCATAATTATTTATTAATGTAATGGGGAGTTAGGTAAAAAAAAAAAAAAAAAAAAGGGTGTAGTCATGTGGCAGTGTTCTATTCTGTTGAACTGTGACCTCCAGAAAGTGGCATGAGGTTTTGCAAAAAATCAGTGACTTCAATGACTTTCTGGCCTGTCTGCTGCTAATCAAACTTCATCACAAGGAAAAGTTTATTCAGTTGTTGAATTCAAAGAACAGTGTTTTAAACTATTATTTAAATGGGGACTATTTATCAATATTTATAATTCAAAAATTCATAACTTAGGAAAAAACAAATCTATTTAAGAAGTCTATTGCAAAACTGAATGATTTCAATTTTACTATTTTATTATAAGTTGTATATATGTCTCTGTGTATGGGTGGAAGAAAATAACGTAACTTGTTAATAGACTCTACCTCTGAGTGATAGAGCTACATATGTAAATAATTTTCTCCTCTTATAATTAGAAAAAAAATAACTTTCTAAAGCTCCAGTGGAGGAGAAAGCTTATCTTTCTCTTTCCATAATTTGTGAAAAAAAATTAGTCTTTACAGATGACAAATTACCTATTCATTAAATGTTTTATTAACACATAGTCTAAAGTAACGGGCTTTGGTTCCTACAGCTTCAGTTTTATTTTCTAGATGGTGGTGGCCAGTGTTAGGGCAGGTGTCACTTCTGTGGTGTACGAACACAGTGGCGTAACCTTGGAGAGCATGCTGCAGCTCATAGACAAGGCTCTGGACGGGCAGAAGGCACAGAGTATGGGAATATTTAGCGACGGGGATAGCCGAGAAATCAATTTACTCCAAGGTAAGATGGGATAGGAAAGAACAACCCACCTTGCACTGATGTAGTGTGTGTCCACATGTATGACCTTCAGAGTCGTACTGAAGTCCCAATTTGTTAAGAAGGTTGATAACCCAGCTCAGAGCAAAAGGCAGAAGTAGTCCTATTCAGGCCTTCCACCGATTTAATGAGGCCCAGGCATATTAGGGAATCCACTTTACTCAATCTACCTACTCAAATGTTAATGTCACCCTAAAACACTCCCACAAACACACCCACCCAGAATGATGCTTGACCAAACTGCTGGGGACCCCAGGAAAGTGACACATAAAATTAACCATCACACCATTAAACGATAACTCCCCTATCCCCCTCCCCCAAGCCCCTAGGCATTACTATCTGCTTTCTGTTCCTATGAGTGTGACTACTTTAGATACTCATATAACTGGAATCATACAGTAGTTGACTTTTTGTGACTGGCCCTGTTTCATTTAACATAATGTCCTCAAGGTTCATCCATATTATAGCATGTAACAAGATTTTCTTCCCTTTTTAAGGCTGAATAATATTCTACTGTATTATATAGCACATTTTGTTCATTCACTCATTGATGGACACTGGTTGCTTCTACCTCTTTGCTACTGTGAATAATGCTGTTATGAATATAAGTATGCAAATATATCTTTGAGTTCCTGCTTTTATAAGGTTTTTTTTTTTTTTTTTTTTTAATGGTACAATCACCTTGGGGAAACAATTTGGCAGTTTCTTTTCTTTGTTAATGGTTTTATTGATTTTTTTAGAGAAAGAGGAAGGGAGAGAGAGATAGAAACATTGATGTGAGAGAGATACATGGATTGGCTGCCTCCTGTGAGCCCCCCACTGGGGACTGAGCCCACAACCTGGGCATGTGCCCTTACTGGGAATTGAATTGGGACCTCTCAGTCCGTCCATGGGACGAAGCTCAATCCACTGAGCCACACCAGCCAGGTCGAGTTCCTGCTTTTAATTCCTTTGGATATATACCCAGCAGTAGATTTACTGGATCGTATGGTAGTTCTATTTTTAATTTTTTGAAAAAATGTCATATTATTTTCCATAGTGGCTACACTATTTTATAATCCCACCAATGGTGCACAAGGGTTCCAATTTCTTTATATCCTTACCAACACTTGTTATTTTCTAGGTTTTTTTTTTTTAATAGTAGCCATACTAATGGGTATAAGGTAATGTCTATTATGGCTTTGATTTGCATTTCTCTGATGACATTGAGCATCTTTTTATATGCTTGTTAGCCATTTGTATATCTTCTTCAGAGAAATGTCTATTCAAATCCTTTGCTCATTATTGTTGTTGTTGTTTTTGTTAATCCTCACCCAGGGATATTTTTCCATTTATTTTTAGATAGAGTGGGAGGGAGAGAGAGAGAGAGAGAAAGAAACATCAATATGAGAGAGACACATCTATTGGTTGCCTCTCACATGACCCCAACTAGGAATCGAACTCAAGACCCTTCAGTCCATGGGGCTGATGCTCTAACCACTGTGCAAAACCAGCCAGGGCCTTTGCCCATGTTTAAATTTGATTCTTTGATTTTTTTGTTATTGAGTTGTAGGGATTCTTTATGTAGTTTGAATATTAACCCCTAATCAGATATATGATTTGCAAGTATTTTCTCCCATTCTGTGGGTTGCCTTTCACTCTGTTGATTATGTCTGTTTTATCAAATTTTAAGTTTGATAAAAGTTAAGCAGTTTTAATAGTAGCAAATACTAAGCTCTATACATTGGCGTACAGTAACAACATTCGTTATACTTCCAAATGGTTACACCACAAAGGAAAGGATTGGCCGATATCATTAACTGTGTGCCATCTCTTAAAAACTTCCGTGGTTACCGTTTTGGGGAGGCAGGAGATGACGAATGTTTTAGAAATAAACTTTTAGTTTCTATTCTTCCTCATACTACAACTTGCATCCTTCCTTGCATATACCTAAAATAAAATTAAGTGCTACTAACTTGAGATCTGCCATCTTTGTGGGATGAGCGAAGAGAGGGAACAGATGTCAAGGATCCAGCTGGTGGGGAATCACAAGATGGAACAGAGAGGACCTGACTCACCCTTCAAACTGCCATCTCTGTGGCTGGAACTCAACAACATGGAATAGTTTCGGTTAATTTCATTATTAGCAAAAACTGCCTTATTTTTGGCTTTTCTTGTTTAGTTTACCTGGGCCTGAAGCAAGTTCTATTCCACATTCAGTTTTTTAAAATTTTTTTATTTATTTAGTTTTTATCCTCACCTGAGGACATTTTTGAATTTATTTTCAGATAGAGTGGGAGGGAGAGAGAGAGAAACATCAACATGAGAGGGCCGGGGACAAACTGCAACTGAGGTACGTGCCCTTAGTGGGAACCAAACCCAGGTCTCTCTGGACCACAGGCCGACGCTCTAACCGCTGAGCCAAACCGGCCAGGGCTCCACACTCAGTTTTTATATCCCCCAAAGTAAAGCCCAGCTGCTCTCTGGGGTTTAAGTTTATGGTTAATTGCTCGGTGGCCCTTCTGTAACGGTGGAGAAGTACCGTGTGCAGTTCACACTGAGGTAGCTGGTTCACCTCCTCTCCGGGACTCCTGATCTCAGCTTGTTTGTTCTCCAGATGACAAAGGTTTCCAAACTCTGCCTTTTCTTTGTTGTCTTTTATTAAAGCAATAGTAATAATAACAAAAACACCGCAGGAAACTAGCGCTTCCTTTCATATAACTGTGGTGTTTTCCCAGAAGCTTTTGCCTTCCAAACAACGCAGTGACACCTCTTGGTTCGGTGGCCCGAGGACCTTCCATGTCCCGTAGACGTCTGCACGTGCAGGAGCCACCAGCAGGGCTCCTGTGCCGCCCTGGTCGGCTGGGTTCTGGGCTTTAGGGAAGCAGAGGCCCGGGGGTCAGGAATGGGCCGGCACTTGCAGGCTGGCTGAGTCAGGCACACATTCCCAGGGAGCAGCCTCGCAGTGACTTTACCCCTCCCGACGCGCTGCTTTTGCTCTGAACAATTTTGTTGTTGCTAATCCTCACCCGAGGACATTTTTTCCATTGCTTTTTTTAGAGAGAGTGGAAGGAAGGAGGGGAAGGGAGGAGGGAGGGAAGGAGAGAGATTGATGGGAGAGAGACACATCAATTGGTTGCCTCCCACATATGCCCGGACTGGGGGGGTGGGGGGATCAAACCTGCAACCCATGTATGTGCCCTTGACCGGCAATCATGCCTGTGACCCTTCAGTGCACAGGCTGACGCTCTAGTCCCTGAGCCACACCGACCAGGGCACAATTTATTTTTTGACTGACAGTTGTGGGAAACACTTCTACTTTGGAAGTTGGTTGCAAAGTCCCAGGATTGACTGGCCACCCGCCCTCAGCGCTGTCGTGAGCCGGGGAACCCATACGCCACAGGGCGGAGCAGGGACACAGTCCTGAACGACGTGCGCAGGGTCCCCAGCCCAGAATGTGAAGGAGACGGGCCATGCTGAAGTCCAGGGGTACCAGGTGGCCCTAACACGGGGCGACATTGACGATCTGCAGGTTCCCGTCTTAGGAGGAGATGGTGGCTTCTTGAAGGGTTGTCCCGTGGTCACAAAGTGCTAAGAGTTTCTGTTCATGATAGTGCTACAAATGAATGTGACTTTGGTTTTTCCTCAGGCTATAAAATTGGTATTAAAAATGTATTGAAGCCTGACGTGAGAGACTTCTGGGAGAAATTAGGAAGCTATGTGGCCCCTGAAGGAGAAGGGGGTCACGTGGACCTCTTTGTGCCCCTTGGAGCATCAGGTCAGTCCTGACAGGTAGTGGTCACACCTACTTTGTGGTGATAGTTTGTCAATTTGTGACATACCCTCAGTGCAAATGACTCTGTCACACAATTTCTTTTTTGCTTTATACAAATACTCAAGTATTTAAAGGAAACGGGTATTGGGTTGGTTGTCAGAGTAATCTATTTCTGCAAAAATAAAGTCCCTAGTGACAAGAGCCAGCCAGGAACATTGTCTCTATTTCTTCTGGAAAACACAGTCAATTCAGTGTGCACAATACAGGGACAGTGTCCGACCAGCAAGGGACCCGTCAGCGGTCAGTCTGAGAAAACACCCTGCTGTGTTCTGACCCTGGAATGCGGGAGCACCAACTTGGGGACTGAGGACCCAGACGTGCCTGCCACTCAGGCCACTTCAGCGGTGTGGCCTTAGGCAAGTTTGGGAACCTCTGTTTCCTCCTATGAACGTTAGGATAATAGTGCCTCACCCTGTAGGACTTATGAATAGCAAAACAACAAAAACAAATTGTACAAATAAGTAATAATAGCAGTACTGAAGATGAGAACACCGAGACAGTGCAGTGCTTGGTGGACACGAGGGGGCTGCTGCGCACTGAGGGGCTGGTGTGATTTTAAGGGTCCACCAGGCTAGTATCAGCCACCACAATTCAAAGTTGATTTCAGTACTTGAAGGGAAATTTCAGAAATAGTAAATCAAATTCCCTTTTTAGTTATCTGTTAAATAAACACTATGCCTTCATGGGCTCTGGGTTTGTTTGTTTGTACCAAAAAACCAGGGGAGAAGGAGTGTGAAATTCTATTTTCTCAAACTGTGTCTCAGTACCCATTCTTGGGAGAACTGAGTTTTAAAGTTCTTAATTTTCAAATGCCATTGGCAAGCTTCAACCAGGGGAAAGAATAAAAACCAAAGGATAGGAAGGGGTTTAAAAGAAAACAAAATACAAATTATTGCAAACAAAGTTTACACAGTTATTAGAATGATATAATCTCAACTATGTAGAAAATATGCATAGAAAAATCTATGAGGAAATGTAGCAAAATATTAACAGACTCTATCTCTAGGTGTGTTTTTCAAATTTTCTACTTTTCAAATCAGTGTTAAAAGAGTATGTTACAGAGAACACAGGCACTGCACTGTGATCCCATGTTTAAAACCTGTGCATGGGCGTGGAGGAGGCTGGTGGTGGTACATATAGAGAGAGAAGGAGGTAGAGCACCCTTTTCTAATGTTAGCGCTAGTGTTAGCACTAGTTGGATAAGATGATAAATGAGATTTCCTTCCTTTTATTTAGAATTTTTCTTTGATCTTATTTGCCTCTATTTTCTGTGCTAAACTAGTCTTACTTTCTTTTACAATGAGAGAAAGCAAATTTTCTAATTGGAGTAGAAGAATAAAGAAGGATGAGGGAAAGTGAAATATTGAAAGGCAGACAATGAAGGCAGAAGGGGAACAGAACAATAGATTTGGTGACGTAAAAATGGTCTCAAGTGAAACTCAATGGTACCCAAACACCAGATTTCCTAAAACCATTCCTGAACTTCTTGTCAAATGTCATTTCCACCTGGATGATCCATCAAGACCCTGGATCAGTCAGAAGACTCTGGCCTCTCAGTCCAAAAATCTTCCCACCACCTCAAGCATCACTCTTGAGCTTGAGCATCCTTGTAGCTGCATCACCTCTGATATCTTGGACTCCAAGCATTTGCCTCTGAGCAGCACTTCCAAACCATGTACCGAGTACAGTGATACCTCGGTTCTCGAACATAATTCGTTCCAGGAGGACGGTCGAGAACCGAATTGTTCGAGAACCGAAGCAATGAAACCCAATAGGAAAGCGGACTCCACAAAGCGTGACTCTCTCTCTGCACTCACACTGATGACGCAAGCAAGGGGCGCTGAGCCGAATGAACGCCATTCGGCTCAACTCGGAAGTTCAAGTTCCAAATATTTGTTCGGATTCCGAGACAAAAGTTTCTCGAATCCTGATTTGGTCGAAAACCGAGGCGTTCGAGAACCGAGGTATCACTGTAGTCCCATTCAATCAATTCTTTGCCTGAGACCTCCGATCTACACTCCTACTTTGCCACTATCACCATGCCTTCATCCTTGGTTTCTTCCTTGTAAAACTTGGATTTAATATTACTCTCCTGCAAAGACCCTGCAATTCTTTGTCATGTTTTTCCTGGCTAAATCCCCACCCATTTGGCTAAATCCCAGTGCTGGTTAAAACACAGCCATCTGCAAAATCTATGCCTGCCTGCACTACGGTAGCTGAAGACTGTTGGAAAAAGTAATGCAACTGTTCTCATAGGTCTGACTTCACTGGTGTACTTAGCCAATGGGATTGCAGCACCGAGGAGCCATCCTACCTGCGTTTCCTTGGTAAATTCACTGTTCTGCTCCTTGAGATGACTTCCAATCCTTCTCCTCCCTAGTCAGTCTTTTCAACAACGCTCTCTCAGCTGTTGACCTCACTTTGACTTCCCTGAGAAAACACCCAAATTTCTCTTCCAACTCCAAATCCACCACCTACCCCACCTCTTACCTTCACTGTCTGTCTTCCCTTCCGTTGACAACGGGAGAAGCTGCCCCGCTCAAATCAAAGTTCAGCTGCTCCACGGGGACCCCGTATCCCAATGCCTCTCACCTTCTGACTTCACTTCTACACTCGAATCCTCTCTGTAGCCTGGATTCTCTGACTTTATTGGATCATTCATATCAAATCAGGAACACCTGTAGTAGCTCCTCTCCTGGGGGAAAAAAAAAAAAGAGATCATAAACTTTCCCTCACCATATTTTGAGTTGACTCAAACTGTGGTGTGTATCTGAATCACCTAGAGGTCTTGTTAAAGTACACATTGCTGGGCTCCACCCTAAAGTGTCTGACTCAGCAGGTCTGGGATGGGGCCTGAGGGTTTTCAGTTCAAACATGTTCCCAGGTGATGCTGCGGCTGCTGCCCCGAGGGCCACGCTCTTAGAGCCACTGGTCTATGCTGACTGCCTCTACCTTCCTCACCTGTCACTCGCTCCTCCAAGTGGTCTCTTCATCTCTACTGAAATTACTTTCAAAAGAAAATAAGTGACTTTCACGTGCCCAAACCCAGTGGCCCCTTCTCCATCCTCACTTTGCTTTGACTTCTCAGCAGCGCTTGATGCAGCTGAACACTCCTGGAAACTCTCCTTCTTCTCTTGATTTCCCTAATCCCACCCTCTCCTTGTTTCCCTCCTCCGCAGTGGAGGCTTCTTCCCCTTCTCCTGTGCTGGCTCCTCCTCCTCGGCAGGACTCTTAAATGCGCCAGGGCTGGGCCTGGGCTGTCTCCTTTTCCATGACCGTGCTCGGTTCCTAGGCAGCCTCGTCTATTCCGAAGACTCTAAATTCAGTCTATACGCTGGACACTCCCAAGTGTACGCTTCCAGCTCTGATATCGCTAAGCTGTAGCTCCTGCTTGGCATCGTCATGTGACTGTTTAGTCTGCACGTCTAACAGCTTTCAAAGTGCACACATCTACACAACTCTCCATTGCCTCCCCAGCAGACCTCCCCCTCCCGAGGATTTTTTAGTGAAGAAATCATTCATCCAGTTACTTCATAAGCCGAAAACTTAAAATTCATCTTTTAGGGGCATTATGTTAAAATTTGTAAACAGCTTCATTAAGGTGTAATCGACATACAATAAACTGTGTGTATTTAAATGTGCAATCAGATAAACTTTGACATATGTTTAATATCCTGTGAAACCATAAAACAGTTAAGATAATGAACATACTTCAATCTACATAGTGTCACTGAAGACGTGAAATTAACGCCATGCTAAATTATGACCCTTGTATCCATTCTGTGTTTAACAGTTTTTAATCTATCCTTTTACAATGAGACTCCTCCCTGGAGTCACGCTGTTGTAGAAAACGCATGCAGACTTTTCTGTGTCTTTGGTCCAAGTATTTCAGATAGAAAATAAGCACCAGGTCGGACCTCGTGCCCTCTTTTGCACGCTGCTGCTCAGACCTCATAAGTGAAGTGTTTGGACTTCAGCACTGAGAGGTGAACTGTAACGTGCTGATGAACATTCCATGAGGGATCTGAACTGAGAAGGAGAACAGCTATGGGCTTTCTTAGCCAGCTCGTCGGGGTGCCTACGGAATACTTACCTGACTGTTCCATGGTGAAACCTGTGAGCAAACTAATGCAAGTATTTTTGTGCAGAGGCAGGCGTGGAAGTTCTCTCTCAGCTGTCTCAGCTAACCGGCACGTTATTTACTGCCCCCGCTGGGATCGCAACCGGCTCTTACCAGCACAGTAAGTGTGGATGGGCGCTGGCCTCGTGCCCAGCAACACCCACCGGCTCCGGGATGACCAAAGGTGAAGCGCAGCTAAATGGTTCTGGTTCTGGTTGAGGCCAACGACTGTCTTTCATTCCTTCTCTGAAACCGTGTCATTTCCCATCACTCGGTCATTTGCTTAGAAGAGGATTATTTCTTGCAAATATTTGCTTTAAGCCATCGTTTATAAAACTCGGTTGAAAACAGTTAAAGATGTTCAGTTGCAGTTCTAGAGAAATAATAAGTACATAGAATCATTTGCTGGTAAATACAATTAATCTGGTGTCACTTGGAAAAATGAATAAAGAGGTGAAAGAAGACGCTTGCTCGGGTTCCATTTCGGTAACATTATCTAGGAGGAAAACAGTCACTGACATAACATACCTGGAAGCGAAGTTTCATTTAGATATGAGCTGGAAATATTGGATCAAAACGTAACACTGGCTGACCAACAGGAGAACCAACTTGCTGTTACGGTAATGCTAATCATTTTTCCTTTTAAAACTCCCAGCCTCTTATCAAAGAAGGTTTGGGGTGAGGCAGAAACGATATAAAGTATTCGTTCTCTGATCCCAAATGCCAAGAGCCTTTGAAGACAGGAAAGCTGGCACGATCGGGGAGCTTGTACGGGAAGTGACATAACAAAAAGCACATTGACTTAATATAGTTTGGCAACAGAAGCTACTTGTTAATTGTAGTTTATATTACGATAGCATATTTGGCCCCGTGGAGACAGGAATCTGCCTAGCAGCGCACAGCGGGGTGCGAACACTGTTGTTTGATGGAACAAGTTTCCTTCTTTTCTGCTCTCTTTTTCCTCCTGTTCACCTCCTTTCCTCACTCTTCGCTTCTCCTCTAGAAGAACAGCTATAAAGACATTCACACGTTCAGCACTAAACACGGGGGGAGGCAAGTCAAATAAGTCCATTCAAGACAGAAAATCAAATGTAACGTGGCACTGTGTCCTTCAGTGGTTGAGTTTCAGGGAGAGAAACTTGCATAAGCACCCACTAGAGTCATGTGGAGATGTTTGTAGAGAGACAGCAGTTTGACATAATGTGAAACACACAGAGGGTTGACTTTGGGTGGCATGATGGGGAAATCAGGCAGAGGGTTCCCTTGTATTTTCATTTTGAGGATAGAAACATAAAACAGTATATTCTTACTTAGATGCCTAGTCTGCTTCCTGATGCATAAATCCAGTAGCTATTTAATTTTTTATTTCAAATATAATATCAGCCTTATCTATCACAGAGTAGATAGGCATTTGATACTATTCGTTAAATTCTTTCTGAGTTTCTTAACTTTACCTTTGAGAGCAGACTGTGGGTGTTTATCATCGTCTTCTAATGAGAAAGGATAGTAAGCCTGATATGAATACAACCAAGTGTTTTTGGTACTATAAACAAGAAGTAGAATTGTTTCGCCCGAGCTTATGTCTGCACTAATAAAGGAGAAAACAATGTCAGTTCTTAGTGACTGGCTGGGACAACCACAGGAGAGGGCTCCCCCCTTCATCTACTTCAGCGAATCGAAGCTGCTGATGTGGTCCAGCCTCACCGACTGCCTGGAAGACACCTTGAAGTCAGCGAGGAAACAGTTAAGCCCTCTCTTCAAGGAGCTGCAGAAGCACATCAGCGGCAGGTTGATAGGTAAGGACTCTTGCTACTTCTGTTGCAGATGTTCAGTTGACTCCTAAACATCTTCGGTGCTACTTTGTTCTCTTTTGTTTTCTCCCGTATCTTCTTTCAAATATAATGAATATCTGCTAAGATGAATATTAAATATGATTTGATAAGTATTTAATATAAAGATGAATAACTGTATTCATCTTCAAAATGCTGGAGCTAGTTCCTGGTTTCAGATTTTACCACCATCTGAATCCTGTCTCTGTCAATTATTTACAGAAACAAAATTCGCTCAGAGTTTGCTCAGCCAGAGAGCTCTGTCCTCCCACCACAGCGGGCTCTCAAAGCACCTTGCACACTGCAGCACCATTACTGTTGTTCTGTAACTGGTCTAATTATTCGTTACTGAACATGTGTAATGGGGTGGTGGATTCATGGTCCTCTGCGGAACCTATTGGACATTATTGGATTTCTCATTCATGCTCCACATCCATGATCAACTGATCACAATAGAGGCTTTAGGAAACAATGTCTTATGCCACCTAAATCAGTCCATTCTTTTAAAATACTTTTTTTTTTTTACCATATAGGTAAATGAATTTTCCCTCCATCTGTACTTGTAGAATTTTTCCCTAACTCTTCCCATCTAACTGAATAAAACACCCTATAAATCAAGTCATTAAGTCATCATAACTATGCCTTCTTTTCTTTCTTCCCTTCCCCAGCCCTCCTCCCTATTTAACATCTATTTATACGGTTAGTGTCTACACAAGAGCTGTAACACAAGTCGGCCTGCAGATATTTATGTCAATATATACCTTACTGTCAGTATATATCTTTACATAAATGCCTCCAAAAAGGGCTTTGTCTTCTTGGTTTTAACTACCACGTTTAGTAGATGTTCAACCATATTTTAAAATGGTTATTAGCCCTGGCCGGTTTGGCTCAGTGGTTGGAGCATTGGTCTGCGGTTCAGAGAGACCAGGGTTTGGTTCCCCCTGAGGGCACGTACCTCGGTTGCAGTTTGTCCCCGACCCTGGTTGGGTCGTGCGGGTGGCGACCACTCGATGTGTCCCTTTCGCGTCGATGTTTCTCTCTCTCTCTCTCCCTCCCACTCTATCTGAACAAAATATGGAAAAAGAAATAATAAAAAAATAAAATGGTTATTAAATTATAAGCAAGGAGAAATTATTTTTCCTGGTGTTTCGTAGAGATAAAAACTAGACAGAAAAGTAGAAAGATTAGCTCTTTAAAGATAGAAGTATTTTTTGATGACATATGTAAGCAATTAGAAGTAGAATAGGGGATAATTCTTTTTGTATAAATACATGTTGTCTAAAATATTTTTAAAATGTAAAAGATGTCTGTGTATGTTATGTTAGTATGTTATTTTCTATGGGCTTAAAATATTTATGTATTTGAGCACAAAGACAGAAGGGAGTGTGGAGGAATCTTTGGTGGGATTGCAAATCTAAAATTTAAACATATAAGGGTCATTTTCATGTGTTCTTTTCTTATTGCCCAATTTATAGATTTTATTCAGCATCAGCTTTGCCAGGGTGGGTACTTTGTATGTGCTGCACATTTCAGTTGCTTTTGCTCATCTTATATTTTATCATGGTAGAGAATCCTCATGGCATAATAGAATTGTAATTTTTATTCTTTGCATTTTTATCCACTGAAAAGCAATTGTGAGGACTGAGCTGCTTTCTTCTTGATCACATCTCTTACATAAATTAATTACAGGGCATATGGCCTTACATTTACAGGACAGTTTATGTTTGACACCATGACTATGACTAACATTCTGAATAACCAAGAAATTGCACAAGCTCTGGCAGATGGATTGACGGAGCTTTCAAAGGAAAATCCTGTAAGTATTTTCTTTTCAAAAGAAAGCACACTACAAAAACCCCAACACGTAAATAAATTTTTAGTTAGTATTTATTTATTTAGTGACCTGTATCTCTGTCCTGGGGCACAATTCCACAGAAAAATTACATCAATTTGTAAAAACAGCTACTGAGAGATTCCGGGCCCAAGATCTATTAGATACACAAAATAGACAAATAGGAAATGTAGTTTATTTAAGAGTTGACTCCCTTGTGCACTGTTTTCTGTCTTGTGATTAATTTCAGTCAGAAGTGACTTCTTTAAAAAAAATACACGATGGCTTTATATTTCACACAAACATTCAACAGTTAAAACAAGAGTATGACAGAAAAATGGAGAATGTGTGAAAGCGAATATAAAAACGTGAGGCAAAAGTCTAGAAGAGAGGAGGGGAGACAGAGCACAAAAGAACAGAAATAAGCACATCAATCCTCTGGTTGGGGACAAGGGTGGGGGCCTGATGAAGCGTTTTCATCAGAAGCGAATCTCGGATACTCGCCCAGAAACGTCGGTCCGTGTGGCAGGACAGTGAGGGGTGGCAGTGGGCAGACGCACCCCTGCCCAGCACCTTCACAAAGCGCAGGAAAGTGCAATGAGCCGCTGTGGTCCGGGGGAGAGGATAGGATGGGAATAGGGATGATACTGCCCTACCGGATGCTATTTAAGGTCTTTGGTTTTCTTTCTAAGGAGATAGTCTCAAATCCTCTTTCACGGGAGTAATTCGGCTTTGTGAGTAGATTTAACTTTGTCATACGTTCTCCTTACCTCTCATGAGTCTCTTTGGTTGCACCTTGGCTTCCTGGGCCACCACCGGTGTCCCCAGGGTCAGCTGTCCGGTGTGCAGTCGGAGGCTGCACGGGCCATGGTTTGCCTTCTCTGAAGTCTCAGCTGCAGGGCCCTAGCCAGCCCGGGGCAGCCTAGTGCTCAAAGCCCTGGTGAGCTTTGCTGATAAAATGGGCCAAGCCTGAGGCTTTGAATGATCCTACACTGTCTCCTGAAATACCGAAGATTTACTAAAAGTGTTTGCTGTGGGTTCAGGGTACTTACTGCCACCTCATTATTTAAAAATAACCTTAGATGGTAGAATTTTGATCGTGCTCAAAACGGCAGCCTGAAAGGGACCAAATTTGAGTGTTTCCCCCAGGAATTCAGCTGCTGTGGTCCCTCTGTCAAGCCTTCTATCTCCTGAAAGACCCCTCCAGTCCCCTTCCTCATCTGGCCAAGAGGCCAGTGTGGGCCACGTTAGTTCTGAAGATCTTGAGACCCCCTCATAAGACCCTGGCATCCTAACTGAATTGTGACAATCAGTTGAGAACCAAGAGTATACACGGTAACTGGAATGTGTGATTAACTAGAAGATCCCATTTACTGACTTTAATTGAGTAATCACTACTTTCTTTTCTGGACTTATAAATCAATTAGGTAGAAAGCTGAAAACTTTATTAAAAATTATGTTCTCTTTTCTACTGCACTTTTGTTGACCTATATTTCCAATGAATGCTTTAAATATAAATTTGGGGGTTGGGTGGGTAATATGGATTTTTCAGGACAAACCTCTGGAATTTTTGTCATATTTCCTGTTGAAGAAATGTAGTGAAAAGAGCAAAGATTTGGAAGAGCATGTGATTCTGACAAAATCTGACCCAAAGGCAACATTCGATTTATTCGTGAAGGTAAAGTTATTGCTGCGTTTTTATGTGTTGCTTCAATGTAGAGCTAGACACATGTGCTAAGAAATTCATACACAACAATGATGATTCTACCTGGAAATCTTCCAACTGGTCATTTCTTCTAAGAACTTTGTTTTCTTGCAAAGGTGTTTGTAAGTATCATGAGTGACATTTAAGCCACTTACAAGCATAAGCTGCACCATATTGGAGGGGATAATGCCCTGGGTCATGGAGGAAAAGTTGGACATTTGCATTTTGTCTCTTTTTCAGTTGAGTCCTGAGATAACAAAAAGATTTTTTTTTTTATCCTCACCCGAGGGCATTTTTCCATTTTTTTTGTTCAGATAAGAGTGGGAGGGAGAGAGGCGGGAGAAAGAGAGAGAGAGACAGAGAGGGAGAGAGAGAGAGAGAGAGAGAGAGAGAGAGAGAGAGAGAGAGAGAAACATCGATGTGAAAGGTACACATCAAGTGGCTGCCACCTGCACGACCCAAGCGGGGTCGGGGACAAACTGCAACCGAGGTACGTGCCCTGAGCGGGAACTGAACCTGGGTCTCTCTGGACCGCAGGCCGACATTCTAACCGCTGAGCCAAATGGGCCAGGGCACAAAAAGATTTTTTTTAAAAAAATATGCAGACCAGGATACTTTTTTGTGTGTGTGTGAAACTAAGAATAATTCTTCTTTTCTTAGTTGAGAATCAAATTCATAAAAGAAAAATGTGGTGGGTTAGAAACCAGTACTTTAGGCAAAGAAATAGTAATTCTGCCAGTATTGTATTCAGAATACATATATTCTTAAGTAAAATAATCAGAATTCAGGAAACACTAAAAATTACATTGTCATTCAGAGAGCTGATTTCTATAAAAATGTCATTTTAGAACTATTTATGCCCATAGAAAAATCATCTACCTATCTTGCACGATCACAGGCTTGGGATACCAGCCCCAACACAAACCCACCATAGAAACTGGTAGTAGGAGTAGACTTGTGAGCTCCTTTAGCAGGTAAATCACTTGTTGCCTTAGTAACCTGACAGTGTGGACGTCTTTGCAGGGATAATGACGTGCGGAGAAGGGCAGACAGGGAGGGCCACTAGAGGCAGAGTCCCCTCTATCCCCCCATAAATCTCTCTGCAATTCTTGGGGATTGTTCTCCCAAAAGGGTAGATGTTCTCTCATCCATCCTTCAGCCTGTGAAAGCCTTTGCCACATAGCACCCAGGGCTCCAATGCCACTCGTTTTCCCTTGGTTCACTAAAGGGAATAATCAACCCTGGCCAGTTGGGCTCAGTGGTTGGAGCGTTGGCCTGTGGACCAGAGAGTCCCAGGTTCAGTTCCCGCTAGGGGCATGTACAAAATAAATAGATGGATAAATAAATAAAATAAAATAAAATAAAATAAAATAAAATAAAATAAAATAAAATAAAATAAAGGGAAGAATTAACATGTAACCACATTACGCTGCTTCCAAATTCTTCCATAGTCCTTACAACATCTGGGTCATTACTGACTCCCTGGAAACCTTACTGGTTTCCACATCTATCCCAAAGGTGAAGCTGTCACCCCAAGCCTGGATATACAGACCCCCAAAATGGCTCTTTTGGAGCAAGAAAACTTGAACAAAGCAATAGGGTGCTTCCTCCTAGGAAGTGTTAATTTTATATTTGAAAGAATTTACTGCTTGTAAGAACCATTTCTGGCCTGTGACACCTAAAAGAATCATCACTTGGAGCATCTCCTCTCAGAAACACTGTCTTGCCTCCTCCAACTAAAACCCACACTGAATCAAATCTTTTCAACCTGCTGTTGGACTGAACATGTTTAGTTGGAGCTTAAAGTTGTCTCCACTGGAAATCAGGCCTGCTAGGGTTACACCCGTCTGCAATAAAACTACAGAAATGTCGCCCTGGCCGGTTTGGTTTAGCGGTCAGAGCTTGGCCTGTGGACCAAAGGGTTGTGGGTTCGGTTCCCAGTCAAGGGCACATACCTGGTTTTATCCCCGTGTGTGAGAGGCAACCGGTCAATGTGTCTCTCTCACATCAATGTTTGTCTCTCCCTCCCTTCCACTCTCAAAATTAATGGAAAAATATCCTCAGTTGAGATTAACAACAAAAACTACAGAAATGTGACACTCCTTCATGCCTAAAAATTTCTTTGATTTTTTTCATTTTTTATTTTTATTTTTTATTTATTTTTTATTCTCACATGAGGATATTTTTCCATTTTTTGTTCATGTAGAGTGGGGGAGAGAGAGAGGAACAGAGAGAAAGAGAGAGAAACATGGATGTGAAAGGGACACATCGAGTGGCTGCCACCCGCTCGACCAACCAGGGCCGGGGACAAACTGCAACCGAGGTACGTGCCCTTAGCGGGAACCGAACCCAGGTCTCTCTGGACTGCAGGCCGACACTCTAACCATTGAGCAACCGGCCAGGGCTTTAAAAAATTTTTTAAATGGATATATTTATATTTTAAATAAAAATTGAAAACAATGTTTGATTCTTATTTGGTTTTCTATTATCTAACACTTAATAGCTTGTGCACAAAGCCCATAAAACAAAGGTGGGGACCCCAGGAGGAAAAACCACAGCCTGAACATGGAGCTGTATTAGGATAATGTAGAGAAGCTGAGTTGCTACTCCACACATGAGGGTTTATTTTTACTTTTTTAAAAAAGAATTTAATTAATTAATTTTTGTTACAGATGTTTCTCCCTTTTCTCCCACTGATACCCCCACACACACCCTCCCCACCCTGTCCCCAGCTTTGTTGTCCATGTCCATTGTTCATGCACAGAAGCATATAAGTTCTGTGGTTTATCTCCCCCCACCCCCCACACACACACCGTCTTCTGGGGATTGTCAGTCTGTACCCCACTTCCATGTCTCTGGGACTACCCTGTTCCTCAGACTGTTATGTTCATTATATTCCACAAATAAGTGAGATTATGTGATATTTGTTTTTCTCTGCTTGGCTTGTTTTGCTTAGGATAATACTCTCCAGGTCCCTCCATGTTGTCTCAAAGGATAAGAGATCGTTCTTTCTTATAGCTGCATAGTACTCCGTTATGAATATGTACCACTGCTTTTTTATCCATTCGTCTACTGATGGACACTTGGGCTGTTTCCAGATCTTAGCTATTGTAAATAGTGCTGCTATGATCATGGGGGTACATATATTCTTTCTGATTGGTGTTTCAGGCTTTTTAGGGTATATTCCTAGAAGTGGGATCACTGGGTCAAATGGAAGTTCAATTTTTAACTTTTGGAGGTAACACCATATTGTTTCCATGGTGACTGCACCAGTCTGCATTCCCACCAGCAGTGTATTAGAGTCCCCTTTTCTCCACACCCTCGCCAACACTTGTTGTTGTTTTTTTTTTTTTATCCTCACCCGAGGACATTTTTCCATTTTTTATTCAGGTAGAGTGGGAGGGAGAGAGAGGAACAGAGAGAGAGAGAAACATCGATGTGAAAGGAACACATCGAGCTGCTGCCACCCGCACAACCGACCAGGGCCGGGGACAAACTTGCAGCCGAGGTACATACCCTTAGCGGGAACCAAACCCGGGTCTCTCAGGACCGCAGGCCGACGCTCTAACCGCTGAGCCAAACCGGCCAGGGCCAACACTTGTTGTTTGATGATTTGTTGATGGCGGCCATTCTGACAGGTGTGAGGGGATACCTCATTGTTGTTTTAATTCGCATCTCTCTGATGATTAGTGATGTTGAGCATTTCTTCATATGTCTCTTAGCCATTTGTATGTCCTGTTTGGAGAGGTGTCTATTTAGTTCCTCTGCCCAGAGGGTTTATTTTTAAAAGTAGATACTCATCCAGAAGACCACACAAACCTCACAGCGTTAGGAGTGGAAAGTCATGGCTTCTGCTGAGATATCGTTTTAAAGAGCCTTCACTGGGTCCTGTGTAAGAGGACTTGTGTACCAAATCCAAGGCCAGACACACACACACACACACACACACACACACGTATATAGAGATAGATACCTCTATCTATTGTCTATCTATCTACCTGTCCATCTACCCACCATCTTGCCGCCCAATCAGCAGTGGCTCCTGGTGTTTGTGCACCTGTGGTGTCTACACTAATATCACACAACCATGGCAATGGGTCGCAGCCAGAATCACAGTTGTTCCTGATCAATACCTGTCATTTCACAACTATTTCTGGCCCCTGATCCAGGAAGCCCAGTGTTTTCTAGGAGAAGTACCAGCATACTTGGGCGTCTCTGGGAAATGCAGTGCCTGCCTGAGCTCCATCCTGGAGGAAAATGTCTACCATGTGATCGGACGTCTCCCTTAAACGTCACGGAGAGAGCCAGGGCAAAGGCCCACCAACCTCAAATAATTGTTTTCTTATAAATGTGCAGTTTGTTGCTTCTGCTACTTCTTCTGAATTCATCCCTAAAAACAAAATAAGGGATGGCATCTTAATCTAAAAATAGTCTCTAAAAATCCTAATAATTAGATCTTCAATATAAAATAAGAGAGAACTTGCTATTTTTCTTTTTTTTAATCCTCACCGAGGACATGTTTGCATTCATCTTCAGATAGAGTGGGAGGGAGGGAGGGAGGAAGAGAGAAAGAGAGAGAAACATTGATGTGAGAGAGACATATCGACTGGCTGCCACCCACACAACCCCAACAGGGGCCGGGGACAAACTGCAACCGAGGTACGTGCCCTTAGCGGGAACTGAACCCGGGACTCCCCAGTCTGCGGGCTAACACTCTAACTGCTGAGCCAAACCGGCCAGGGCAGAACTTGCTATTTTTAGGTTCAAATAAAATGACTATGCTATATCAATTTCCTGTCCACAAAGAAAAATGCTTATTTTAAAAATAGCTACTGCTGAGCCAGAGGTGAAACAAAGCCCCAGTGTAAGCAAGCAGCTTCTAAAATAACCCGCCTGGCCTGGGGGTCCATGCCCACGCCTGCATTTTAATGCATAAGCACTCGTGTGAGCCTGTATCAGTAGGGTGATATCCCAGAGAAGGGTGCCCTCCCTTATCTGTGAGATCCACAGTGGGGTTCTGTCCTGCTTGGGTTCTCTTCGTCCTGCGCCAGCAGTTTGAGTTGAATCTTGGCTGTGTCTGTAACCTTCTACCTCCCCCCCTGTGGCATCCCTGCTGATGGGCGGAAGTCGTTGTTCCTCTATGCAAAGAACCAGCGCTGTTATCTGTTGTGGAAGAAGAGAGTGTTCACCTCAGAGAAATTTTAAATTATTTTGTTAAAATTCAAAGTAAATTCTGTTCCCTAGCTTAAATATAAACACATGCCCCATTGATGTGGGACAGCCACAAATGGGGAAGACACAAGAAATGACAGGAAACAGGCCTGGAGGGTGGGGGCTGGGGGGGAGGGGAGGGTGGTGTCTGCAGACCAGGGAGACACTATCTGGCTGCCCTTGGGACCAGGGCCCTTACCCAGAGCCTTCAGGTGGCTATAAGGAATGGCTACAGATAAAATTTATTTCTGACTGAGTAAGGCAAAAGGATTCTTGGTTACAAAATGATGTTCTTGCCTTGGCCTGTTTGGCTCAGCGGTTAGAGCATCTGCCTGCGGACCAGAGTCCCGGGTTCGGTTCCCGCTAAGGGCATGAATCTTGGTTGCAATTTGTCCCTGGCCTTGGTTGGGGTTGTGCGGGTGTCAACCGCTTGATGTGTCTCTCTCTGTCTTCTTCCCCCCCTCTCTCCCTCCCTCTCCATCTGAAGATAAATGCAAAAATGTCCTTGGGTGAGGATAAAAAACAAAACAAACAAACAAACAAAATGATATTCTTCTTCCGGTCTCACCCCTGGGTATCAAGATCTTACATGGGCAGTGTTATTTTTGACCAGAAGGGCAGCAGTAATGACCATTAACCCTCATTAGCTCTCAACACAAACTGCTCCATTGCTCCGTGGGCCCAGGGCTGCTGCTGTTCACAAGGAAGCCACAGAACCACCCCCAGGCACAGCCTCCAGGGTAACTGAGGAAAGAATATGCCACATTTAATGCAGAAACAGGTCTAGAAAGGGCACGAGAATTTTCTGACACATTTTCATTAAGTGAAAACAGGGGTGTGTTTTATAAGGGGCCGTGAGCGTTTCCTCCCTCCCTCCCTCCCTCCCTCCCTCCCTCCCTCTTTCTTTCTTATCCTTACCCAAGGACATTTTTCCATTTTTCTGTTCAGATAGAGTGGGAGGGAGAGAGAGGAAGAGAGAGAGAGAAACACACAATGAAAGGGACACATCGAGTGGTCGCCACCCACACGACCCAACCAGGGCCGCGGACAAACCACAACCGAGGTACGTGCCCTTAGCGGGAACCGAACCCGGGTCTCTCGGGACCCCAGGCCAACGCTCTAACCGCTGAGCCAAACGGGCCAGGGCTCTCTGGCATCTTTAAGGAAGTCGGCCTGTGTGCCCTCCAGGGAGGAGAGCAGAGGCCCTGACCCTGTGCAGCCTCAGGCCGAGGAGCTTCCCACTCCCCTGGCTCCCACGGAAAAGCCGCATGACTTAGTTCCTCGAGTATAATGCAGTTCAAAGGAAGCTAAAGGTTTTGTTTTTATTTTCATCGTGGCATTTACTTCAGGAGAGGCACTGATTTTGTCCAGTGCTTGATCGTTCTGTCTCCGGACACCGTCCTCACGGCTGGGCAGAGCCCGAGAGCCTCCTGTGGGCGCCGCACCGACGGGGCCTCCAGACCGGCCGCCCAGTAATCACATCTGCATTGAACCCCCAGGAAAGAAACGTTCTGGAAGACAGTCCTCGGCGCGCAAATCCCAGTCTCGGCAAAAATGATCCAAATTTTGAGTTGCTGGTTCAGTTGGTAAGCCAATTATTATGTAACGAGAGTTTTCTATTTGTCCTTCTCCTGAAGCCACACCCACACCCCCTCCCCTTCCCCGCAAACCCCAACCACTCTAGCTTTTATTCTGGTTAGTTCTTTTTGTCCTGAAAAACTCCCAGATGTAATTGGGGTATCCAGCCAGTAGCTTTTCCTCTTGAACAGTTCTTGGTCTGAAAAGAGGTTGAGTGGAGAGGATGGAGGGATCACATCTGGGAGCAGACGCCATCCGGCGACCCCAGGCTTTCCCAGCTAACGTGGCACCGCGCCCGTGAAGGTTCCCATCCCCCCCCCCCCCCCCTCGTGCCGGCTTCGAATGCTGCGTAGAATCAGCTCGGCTCTTAGGCCCGGCGAACGCCCGAAGGTGCGGCGGCGGAGGCGAGCGGAGGCCTGGTGCGTCCGCACTGGGACACGGCGTGCGGACACGGCGCTGTGGGCCATTTGCTGTTTCTTCAACCGTGTCCACATCTTTCATCATCGTTCAGTCTCGGGGTCCTGTAATGTAGATGGTAGAAACCACATTTTTGCAGATGAGGAATTAAAGTTAGGACACTTAAATGGCTTGTCTGAGGTCGGATCATCGGCAGAAAGACACCTGAATCCTGGGGCCCGGACAGCGTGACAGCCCCGGCGGGCACACCTGTCTGGCTGGGTGTCAGCGGGATGGCCGGTCTCATCTGACTGTGCGTGATAATGTCTAACAGTTTAGGACAACGGAAAGTTTGACAACTGAAACCTTAAGTCAAAATCATTATAAATATTGGATGGCTCCAATAAATAAATACACAAATACACATAAAATTATCATCTGGGCAGCAAGCCAGCCCTCAGTGGGATGCAGATTATTTTTTAAAAAACTCATTAGATATATCTAAACAGACATATACAGACCGGATATTTAAAGATAAAATTAACCAAGAACTGTGTGTTTATTGTATTCCAAACAGAGAGTTCTCTAATTTTTCTCTCAAGTTACTTTTCAATTTTAAGTTAATTCATAAACTTCTGCTTGACTTATTTTGGGTGAAGACCATAGGGCACTATGCTCTACTACTGTCATTTGATCTGGGGCAATGTGGGGCGCGCTTGGGGCTGGAGGGGAAGCAGGAACTGTGTTCTATGAGCACTCAGAGCTCTAGGCTCAAATAGAAGCCCCAAACATTTTAGAAATGTAAATATTACCATTGTTTTCCTATGGTAAATGTGTTCATTTTACAACTTTTGAAAAGTACAGATAAAAGGAAAAGAATGACCTATTCCCATGAATGAAAACGAATTTCTCCAAATATTAACATGGCACACATAATAATAGGGTGTGGAATTTCTCTACACCAGTTTCTGACTTTTCCCTCTGCATTAACAAACAAAACAGGACTTTGAGACATAGAAAAGGGGTATTTGGCAACCTAGCTCCCCAGGAGAGATGGGCTCAGTGGTCCCAAGATAGGTACTTTTTCTAAATGCTGAAAGAAGAGCATGAATTTCCCTATTTCATAGCGTGCCTGTGGGAAGCAAATTACTTGATAATGAGAGAGCTAGTTCTGTTCTTCTGTCTGCAGCCTAATCGATAAAACACTACAGGAAGAAAAACTAGGACAACAAACAGCAGTGGGCACCCCAAAGCCTTCCTCACCAGAGTCGCGCAAAGGCAGGACTCTGTCTTCACCATGGTCCAGCCAGCAGCTAGCACACGACACTGAACACGTACTTGGTGGGAAGATGGATAAAAGGAGAGTCTCAATCTGCCCCCTCAGGTTCCAGGATTGAAGACCCATCTGTACTGTGGCGTCACACTGGCCTGATGTGAGGGGCTATTTGGCAATACCAGGGACAAGTGATGGTCAGCGGGGTCCCCCATAGTCCCCTCCTAAGATTCCCTTCAGCCCTGGCCGGTTTGGCTCAGCCGTTAGAGCGTCGGCCTGCGGTCCAGAGAGACCCAGGTTCGGTTCCTGCTAAGGGCACGTACCTCGGTTGCAGTTTGTCCCCGGCCCTGGTTGGGTTGTGTGGGTGGCAGCCACTCGATGTGTCCCTTTCATGTCGATGTTTCTCTCTCTCTCTCTCTCTCTCCCTCCCACTCTACCTGAACAAAAAATGAAAAAATGTCCTCGGATAAAAAAAGAAAAAAAAAGATTCCCTTCAACCTTGCATGTCACAGGCCAGCAAGGGGCATCCCAGTGACGGCCTGACTGCTCAATATTTCCATTTCTCTGTCTCCTTCGACTTGCAGGCATTTGGAGGCTGTCAGCCTGGGGAAAATCATTATGCTTTCCCTGAATTCATTTTTTAAATTTTAATTAATTAATTAATTAATTAATTTTATTAACTTATTTTGTTACAGAAGTTTCTCCCCTTTTCCCCATTGACACTCTCCTCCCCATCCCCCCCATCCCCAGCTTTGTTGACCATGTCCATTGTTCATGCATACATGCACTTAAGTTCTGTGGTTTATCTCTCCCCCACCACCCCATCTTCTGAGGATTGTCAGTCTGTACCCTACTTCCACGTTTCTGGGTCAACCCTGTTCCTCAGACTGTTATGTTCATCATATTTCACAAATAAGTGAGATCATATGATATTTGTCTTTCTCTGCTTGGCTTGTTTCACTTAGGATAATACTCTCCAGGTCCCTCCATGTCGCCTCAAAGGATAAGAGATCTTTCTTTCTTACAGCTGCATAGTACTCCATTGTGTATATGTACCACTGCTTTTTTATCCATTCGTCTACTGATGGACACTTGGGCTGTTTCCAGATCTTAGCTATTGTAAATAGTGCTGCTATGAACATGGGGGTACATATATTCTTTCTGATTGGTGTTTCAGCCTTCTTAGGGTATATTCCTAGAAGTGGGATCACTGGGTCAAATGGCAGTTCAATTTTTAATTTTTTGAGGTAACACCATATTGTTTTCCATAGTGGCTGCACCAGTCTGCATTCCCACCAGCAGTGTACTAGAGTCCCCTTTTCTCCACACCGTCGCCAGCACTTGTTGTTTGATGCTTTGTTGATGGCGGCTTCACTGGATTCTTAATGCCTCTCTACAGGAGAGAAAGCTCCAGACGGACTCGGCAGTAAAGCGAACTCGAGTTGTCGGGGAACTCTTACAGAGTGAGAGAAAGTACGTGCAGATGCTGGAGATTGTGAGAGATGTTTATGTAACACCACTGAAAGCCGCATTGTCCTCAAACAGAGCAATTCTGAGTGCTGCAAACATCCAGATCATTTTCTCTGATATTCTGCAGATTTTAAGTCTCAACAGGTAATTCCTGAATACGTATTTTCTGAAATACTCACTACGTGGTGGGAGGGACCCACACTGAACTGCACAGAAGCTCAGGCAGTCTCTGCCTCTCATGGGGACCCTGATCATCATGCAGAAGAGAGAGAATTCTTGCCACTGGGCTGCAACCAGTGTTGATGATTCTCAAGGGCTTATTCCTGCCTCAGTTCAAAGCCATGGTACCAGATCAGTGCCGGGGTGGGGGTGGGGGGGTCTGTATTCTACATATTGTTCATGTAAAAGACAAGACAGTATGTTTAGTTGAGCAATGGGAAAGGAACTGAAGGATTTAATGGGACTAAGTCACTGGGATACTTTACTTGGAGAACCCAGGTGAGCTTCGTAACAGTAGATGCTTTGAGTATGTAATAGGACACAGAGAAAGTGATCATTTGCTCTGCTGGTAAAGACAAACTAAGCTGTGGTTCTCTGCCAGTAACACTCTAGAAGACTGGGACACGTTTCTACCCTCACTGGCCCACCTCCTACAAAATAAAAAGGTTGAACTAGGACTCATCTGTTTTCCAGGCCTGTGATGGCGGAATGAGGGATAACCTTAGATCTACCGGGAAAGGGGCCAAGGGAAGGTCATGGCCGTTTAAAGTGGGTTGAGCACTCTGCTCCGAGGCCTGTAAGAACCTTCCCTGCCTGGCTGGCTGGCTGCGTGGGAACAGAGGGTCAGATGCAGCCTGTAGAAGCCAGCCTGGGGTTCTGAGTCCAGGAATTAAGGTGAAGAGGTGGGATTCCACCACAGTCAACCTACTTCCTCCCTTCCCAGCTCCTCCTGTCCTGTCGAATCTGTATGTGACAAAAGCCCAGCCATAGAAGACTAGGCTGAAACAGGCCGCACTAATAACCACTAATTCATTCGTCAAGTTCATAGGTTATCGCTGGCCAGTATTTCATGCTTTTCTCTTCTTGCAGGCAGTTTCTAGGTAACCTGAGAGATAGACTTCAGGATTGGGGCCCAGCTCACTGTGTGGGAGAAATATTCATAAAGTTTGGAAGCCAGTTGAACACATATACTAATTTCTTCAACAATTACCCTGTTGTTCTGAAAACCATCGAGAAGGTAAATGATTGAGTTACCATCCAGGCATGTGTTAGACCTGAGCATGAAAGGACGTTTTGTGTGCAATTCAAAGGACTGGGATTAATAGAGAGGACGTGTTCCCTGCTCCTAGCTCCCCCCTCCAGGTTACTGTGGATGCTGAGGATGGGGACCTTGACATTTACTTCTGTATCACCGGGGGCTAGCACAGTGCCTGACACAGCAGGGCCCGGAAACTGGTCGTCGGACTGAACTAATCCTCACACAGACTGTCAGACTTCCATCCGCCGCGGATTCCCTGTGGCTCAGTTGTAGGAAAATGTTAACTGTTAGACACAAGAAAGACCGTGAGCTCTGATTTCACTCTGCCGCTACAGACCTTGTGACCTTGACAAAGTCAGCTCTCTTATAAAGAAGGAATTAATGGTCCACGCTTCTTGGAATAAGGATACTCAGTTCATGAAATTTCACTACGATTAAGGAATTTCTTTGTCTTACATTCCTTAGTGTTCACTGTGACTTGTGCCATATGTAGACTGAGCAGGGACATCCACTTCCCTCTGTGTCACTTGCTGTTCTGCTGGGGATCTCTTCTGATGGCAGTAAGACCCCTCTTTCTTTCTCCCTGAATTTGTATCAGAAGTGCAGCAGCAAGCCTGGCCAGTGTGGCTCAGTGGTTGAGCGTCATTGACCCATGCACCAAGAAGTCGCCAGTTCGATTCCCGGTCAGGGCACATGCCCAGGTTGTGGGCCTGATCCCCAGTGGGGGGACATGCAGGAGGCAGCCAATTGATGGTCTCTCTCATCGATGTTTCTATCTCTCTCCCTCTCCTTTCCTCTCTCAAATCACTAAAGAAAACAAAACAAACAAACAAACAAACAAACAAACAAAAGTGCAGCAGCAGAGGCTACCTTGCGACATGGGGGCACACTTCTGCCAATGTCCAGTGTGTTCACTTTGGCCGTGCCCCGCTCTGCACTGAGGTCTCTGGCCGATTTCTGACCTTGGACATCTCCCTTTATGGTACACCTCTCAGCCCACCCGGGGAGTTTCACACTGCTGGACAGTCTGGTTACGTATTATGTGAAAATTGCATGAATGAGGCAATTTCATAGAACTAATCATGAGGACAAGAACTGGAGGAAAGTGTCACATATCATCAGAAACAAATTGATGCCAAAATTTTTATAGGTATGGATAATAATGACATCTGCTTCGCTAGCATAGGTTGTGCATATAAGTACTCAATAATTGTTAGCTATTAATATTATTGAAATCAAGCAATATTTACTTGACTTCTAGGAATTAGCATTAATGGCCTTTTTTGGGCATATACCCACTGAGAAAAATGGGTACTTTCTGGGTACTTTAATGGTGATGAATGAACACATTTTAAAGCAGATGTTAAATGCAGTGGAGCACCTTTATAACATTACACATGATTAGCAGCGGTATCACAGGTGGAGACCATTAATTGTCTTTTACTATAAGGAAATAACGTTTACTGAGTGACAGGCATTTTATGGACAGGATTGATTTTTCCTTCACCACAAGAGTTAGTTACGCTCTTTCTGACTACAACATCCAGAAAGAGTGCACCTGCTCCTGGTCTCCCGTCTGAAGGGTGCTGTTAATTCAGTTTTGCATTCCTAGCGCCCAGTGATGGCACTACTCTGCATTTGCCCCAATTTAAGTTTAGAAATTACCAGTTTCAGTAATAACTGAATCTGTTCAAAATGTTAATAAAGTTTTCATTGCATGGTAGCAAAAAAAAAAAAAAGATTTAGTTACGACATCCATGAGGAAACTGAGGCTCCGGGGAGTTAAGTAATTTAACAAGGTCACAAAGAATTAGGTAGAATTAGATTAGAATGCTAATTCTAATCCAGGCCTCCCTGGTTGCAGAGTCTGTTTTTATTTTTCTGTACTGATTAAGTTCAATGGATAGGGTTAGGTCCGTGGTATGAATAATTCACTATACTTAGTATATTATGTTAGTAAGTACTAATAATCCTTTGACTGGATGTAGACATTACCCTGTTGCTTTGAGTGCTTCATAGATCATGTTTGCCTGGTGGAACAGTTGCTTTGCAACTGTCATAGAGACCCAAGTTTTGACCATATTACGCTCACCTTTAGTGCAGAGAGATGATACCAGCATTCCGAGCTTTCCTGAAGAGGCATGATAAGACCGTGGTCACCAAAATGCTGAGGTAAGTTCTGAGGGAGAGCACAGCTGAGGCACCCCGAGGACAGAGCATTTCTTGACCTTCAGAAAGAGCCCAGGGTTCCCTTCTCTGTGCCCCACACAGCCTGCCGGAGCTGCTCCTGTACCCATCCCGAAGATTCAAAGAGTACGTTCACCTTCTCTACGCTCTGAGGCTCCATGTTCCTGCAGACCATGCTGACCGTGGAGACTTGACCACTGCAATTGACCAAATAAAAAAATATAAAGGTTACATAGATCAGGTTGGTTGCTGACAAGAGTTTGTGTCCTTTAAAAATGTCACAATGCTTTTTTTGGTATCTAGCTCAAATTCTTCAAATTCTTTCACCCTTGTAATATGAAATCATTGTGTTCAGAGACTTGGAGCACTAAAAGCATCTATTTTGGGCCAAGCAACATGAGACAGAATGTTTTCAGATAACTATACAAGTACAATAAAATCTTTATTAATATGAAAATTTGAAGAATGGGGTATTTGGATTGATTTTTCTAGAGGACTAAAAGAAAAAAAATAAGATCCTTTGTTGCTGAAAGAACTTGTTAATGTATTAGATTTCCTGCCCAAGTAAGTCAGCGTCAGAGTACAGTACTGTCGTTCTGCACATATCACCAGGATGTGCTACTGCACGGGTGTCCAGGCTGAATGTAAACTGATCACACATTATGCCCAGAAGATGCTTTTGGAATACAGTCTCGTCATTTGCATCTTTGTTTTAGAACATAGGGTACATGAAATTAGATTCTTATTACAGTTCGTGAAAATACCAAGCCCTGTTCCAAGTGCCATGAAATATTTTAAATCTATTTTTTATGTATACGAATTTCACAATTTTATTTAGCCTAAAATCACTCTGTCTTCTAGATGAAGCAAAACATCGATATGAAAGATCAGCTGTCAGACATACAGAGAACCATCTGCGGGTGCCCTGTACGTATTGTGATGTACTTGCTACTTCTCATGCTCATGGATAAAACCTTGTATCGATGGCAAAAGGAGACATGCAGATGTCAAATCAGCTCACATCTGTTGAATGCCTGCTGTGTGCCTGGTACTGCCAAGCTCTCACATTTCACATCCGTCCTATCTGCAAGGATGCTGTACGAGAAGAGACACACGTGGACTTGACCCTAACCCTTAACTTTTCTGCAGCCTTAGCTCCTTGCTTGGTACTACTATTGTCATGGCCCCTCTGAGGAAAGAGGCCATGTCGTCTATGGCTTTGTGTTTCCCTGTGCATAGTACCTGCAAATTTTGCACACTGAGGATACCTGAAAAATCTTAGAAGCCCTCTGCTGGCTGTGACCTACAGAATATCATCTCTCTTACTGCCTTGCCTACCACTTTATGAGCAAACCACACAGATCTACTCACAGTTCTCCAGTAATGTCTGCCTTTCCTCACACGGTGCTTTGCCCATTCTCTTCCGTCTTGAAAATCACCTCCCTTTCCTACTCTGCTGGATAAACTACTGTTCATCCTTTACACATTCAGTTCAGTTATCATCTTCCTGTAGTTTCTCCTAACATCTCCAGCTGGGAGTTGCCCCCTCCTGGGGGTCCTGAAGCACCCCGAACATCTGTCACCTTCTATTGCAATCTTTTATTCTTAAGACAGGGGGCTCTGTAAGGTATGAGCTATGGTTTACTTGACTTCTAGTATTTGGCATATAATAGGAGCTCAATATATAAATTATATTGAATTAAAGTATCAATTGATTGGAAATGTTACTTTTATTTGGTCAAACGGGGGAAGCGAGATGGAGTTGTTTTGTCTGTATATTTTGGTAAAGAAAGTGGAGTTGATTGGATTGCACAAAGTCCAAACCATTGATACTCACAGAGTCCACAGAACTTCATCTCTAGGTCACTGTTCACGTGATCATCTCCATGGATACAACAGTGCAAGGGCCTGACTTCTTAATGTGTAACAAGTCATTCCCTTCCCTTCCTTGACAGATCCCTGCTTATTCACCCCACTCCCACTTTATTTTTGATACTAAGAAAATGTTTATAAATAAAACAATTTCAGTAGCTTAAGAAATCAGACAACACTCTAAAACATAGTTTTCATTGTCAATTCTGTGGCTTTCTAAAGAAAGCGTTTTATTAAAACATTCATTTTCGTAACTGAACTGAGTTCTACTCAACACTTACATATTCTGGGGTACAAAATGGTTCTGCAGAAGTGGGGCTTTTTCTTTTCTAAAAATGTATGTGTGCTTCTAATTTTGTTTTCTATTTCATAGACTCTATCAGAAGTAAACAGATATCTGATCAGAGTCCAAGATGTAGCCCAACTTCACTGCTGTGAGGAGGAAATAAATTTCTCTTTAAGGTAAACATCTAAATATTCTACAGCTGACACTGTGTTTTACTCATCTTATACCCGACATCCTGTACACTGTCTGACACAGTATACATTTACGGTAATCTGTGTGTTACACTGAAAAGTCACACACACACCCATCTGAGATAAGGTAAGATGCTTTATCACCTTACTTGATTTCCAGGCAGCTACTGGGCAAAATGGGAGAAAAGAAATAGTCTCTGCCAGGATCAGAAACTACACAGAAACAGAAATTCTAAAGGTTAGTCACTTTCCTACTGAGAGGTAATCCGAGTGTCGTGGTATCACATGAATGATCTGCTCAACTGTACGAAAAAGAACATCAGTTTATCATCCTCGGATAGTTATGGTGGTATTTAAAAGGTCTCACCTTAGACCACCCTTATATTGATTTCTCCCCATATCTAGTTTGCACAGAGCTCACAGTAATGTAAGAACAAAAGACGGGAGGGTGTCAGTTTCCATAAACTAGCATTCACTTTTCTCCTGTGGAACAACGAGGGACCCTGTTTCTGTAAAGGGTCGGATAGTAAACATTTTAGGTCTTGCTGGCCAAATAATCTCTGTGGCAGCTACCTAACTGTCAGAGAATCACAAAAGAAACTACATAACCACTACAATACATAACAAATACAGTCTTTATAAACAATATAATACATAAGTGAGTGTGGCTGTGTTCCAGTAAAACTTCTTTATAAAAACAAGTGGTGCCAGTATGCTGATCTCTGCTTTAGGAAATTGTTTGCCAAACTGTGCTCTCAGTATTAATGGCAAAGATGATGACTCAACAAATAACAACCAAATGGAGAGGAATTAACTTCTTTAATTTTTCCAACTCCAATAACAGAAAGAAAAATTGATTTATCTGTTATTTCAATGAATGTATCAGTAAATGTTTCCCAAAGACACAGGGAGGGGTGGGTGGGCGAGGGTCATTGGAAGAAATCAGTTCTCTCACCTAAACCCCACCTAGAGTGACTCTTAAATGAAAATCAAATCACACAGTTGTAACTTCACTTTTCTCACTGTCAGTTTTTTGCTGTTGTTGTTTTGGGTCAGTAGCAATAGCAAAGATACAGTGATGGAAGGAAAATAACCGCCAAACCAGCAATTCTAAACGCACTGGTACAGTAGGAACGTGCTAGGGATTTATTTTACCTTCATAGAATATATTTTACCTTCAACACTCTTCCTCTTTGTAACTCCAAGTTTCTGACCTACATAATTTTCCTTCTCTCTGAAGAACTTCCTTTAACATTTCTTGCTAGGCAGGTCAACTGGCAATGGATTCCCTCAATTTTTGTTTGTATGAGGAAGTCTTTGGAGGAATGATTTTGCTGGCTACAGAATTCTAGCTTGGTGGGCTTTTTCTTTCAAAACATTTCACTCCATGGTCTTCTTCCTTGCATGGTTTCTGAAGAGGGTCCAGTATAATTCTCATCCTTGTTCCTCTACAAGTAGGGCATATTTTTATTCTCTGAGTTCTTTCAAGATTTTATTTTTGTCTATATTTTGGAGTTTGAATGTGATATGCCTAGATGTAGATTCTAAGGTATTCATCCTGTCTGGTATTCCCTAGGGTTCCTGAACCTGTGATTTGGTGACTGTCAATGATTTTGGAAAATTCTCAGCCATTATTACTTCAAATATTCCATCTGTTCCTCTTTCTTCTCCATCTGATATTCCTGTTAGACAGACGTTGCTTATTTTATAATTGCCCCACATTTCTTGGGTAGTCTGTTGCTTTTTTTTCAGTTTTTTTTCCTCTCTGTTTTACAGTTTGGTAAGTTTCTATTGATGTATCTTGACTCACTGATTCTTTCCTTGGCTGTGTCCAGTCTGCTGATAAGACTATCAAAGGCATTATTCATCTGTTAAATGTTTCTGATTTCTAGAATTTCTTTTTAATTTCTTAGTGTTTTTATTTCTATTTATATTACCTATCTGTTCTCACACATTGTCCACTTTTTCCAGTAGAGTCCTTAACATATTTATCATACTTATCTTAAACTCCAAAATCTCTACCATATCTGGGTCTGGCTTTGAGGCTTGCTCTGTCTTATCAGACTGTTTTCTTGGCTCTTAGCATGCCTTGTAATTTTTCTGTGGCAAGTCAGACATGATGTGGTAGATGAAAGAAATAGGCCTCTAGTGTAAGGCTATGTGTAAGCCTGTGTTTCTATTTGTTGTAGCTGTGGTGTTATCAGCTTCAATTTTCCCTGGTGTTGTTTTTGTCTCCTGTTGTCATTGGGTTTTCTAGAGATCCTTTAAATGGAGTGTGAGCCTTGCTCTTCTTTTCAGCTGTAATCCCTTACTATTATAAAGAATCCTATTGATGTTCTGGCTGGTTTGGCTCAGGGGTTCGAGTGTCGGCCTGTGGACCAGAGAGTCACGGGTTTGATTTCCAGTCAAGGGCATGTACCTGAGTTGCAGGTTTGATCCCCAACCCAGTAGGGGTTGTGTGGGAGGCAACCAATTGATGTGTCTCTCTCACACTGATGTTTCTCTCTCTCCCCTCCCACTCTATCTAAAAATCAATGGAGAAATATCCTTGGGTGAGAATTACAAAAAAAAAAAAAGAATCCTATTGATGTGGTGGTAAGACATGAAGGGGAGGGTTAAGAGTTCTATAGTCCTATGATTTGGTCTGTTTTTTAGTGAGACTGTGCCCCTGGGCTGTGACCTTCACAAATGCGTCTCAGCTTTATTTTATTTTATTTCCTTTAAGATAAGACAGGAAAGCTAGAGGGAGCTGGAGTTGGGTATTTTCCTTCCTCTGGGTTGTCTAGGTTCTGGTAAAACAGTTTCCTTTGAGGGCAGTCCTTTGTTAAGGAGAAAAGCACTTTCTGGGCATGTTTCAAAATGGCTTTTCTCCTCCCTATTGGGAGGAATGAGAAGATTTTTCTTAGATATTCACAGTAGGTACCTGTTGGGAGTCCTGGAGGTAAAATTGATGCAAGTGGAAAGAGGATCTCCCTACGGCTAGGCCTCCAGGAGTTTCTCATCTCTTTACTAGTTCAGAGTCTCTAGCAATTAGCTAATCACCCTTTAACTCTTCTTACCCAGTGCTGGCTCCAGTGTGCAGTCTCTGCTTCCAGTAAACGCTAAGCCTCTGCATACACGTCTCTCCAGCTTTTAGGGTAGTGGTTTACCTTTTGACCTCAACTCTCTGACTGATCTAGGTAGAGTTGCTGATTCTGAGTTTTTCAGATTCTTTTTATGAGAATGTAAGTGATGACTTCCAAACTCTGTGCATGTGCAAACAGAAACTAGAAGTCACATTATAATTTAAATGTCCGTCTGCAGTTTCTACAAGAGTATATTTGAGAATTTGAGGGTAGTTAGGTAATACTAATTATTTTGCATCCTAATTATGAGGTACACATATATTTAAATAGGCACTATAGCAGTGCTTTTCTAGCAATAAATATAAATGTAATTTTACATTAATATTTGAAATTAAGTAAATGCAAAACAGGTTTATATTCAGAGATATCACAGAATATGTAGCCTATAACCTTGTTTTCTGTCATTTTATTATATTTGTTTATTGCTTTTTTTTAGAGAGAAGGGAGAAGGAGAGATAGAAATAGCAACGTGATGTGAGAGTGAAACATGAGTGTTTTCTGTCATTTAAAAAACACCACATAAAACTCAAGAAATGACATTTCCATGATTTTCATCATACTTAGAAGGAAATTCTGCTTATATATTTTTAGATACAATACCAAATCACATGAGTATAAAGCTCTGCAGTTGACCATGTATGTTAACTTCTCTCACTGGATACAGTCGTTACACTCACTCGGTGAGGAAGGTGGAGCTGGACCGTATCTGTGGATGGGGAGCCTGAGACCACAGAAGTAACAAGGACAGGTCTAGAACTCGGACCAGGTCCCAGTGCTCTAGCCTGATTAAACCAGCAGGTGGAAAGCTGAACTGAACTTCCTCATAATGAACTCACCAACATAGCAACAATTGCTAAATAAATAAAATCTACCACAGAAAGAGTAAATAATATTTGCACTATCAATAAAAAATTTTGCTCTGGGTAGAGAAGTCAGAGTGATTTTAGAGCTAGAAAATTTGGAGGTATTTGTCTATGCATATAAACCAGAGTCTGGGATATATTAAACTTTTAGAATACATTATGCATTATTGTGTGTGGTTTTTTTTTCTTCCAGAAACAGATTTTCATTTATGTGACTTTAAGCTTGCTGATTTTTAGTGCGCCTTTCCCCCTTCCCATGGGGTCTTCCCAAAGTTACAAAAGTGGAGCCCTCTAGAACTGGTGAATAGAGTCTTGAATCACTTCTCAGACTCAGCATCTTCTTGAGGAAAACCCTACTACAATGCCAACAATGCACAGTCACCTTTCCTTTTAGCTTTATCCAAAGGGACCTACAGTCAACTACCAGGGCAACCATGCACTTACCAGGGCAACTTCTCAGGGATACTTTACTCTGGGATTATTTTCCTAGGGACCCAAAAAGCCATTGTGATTCACCAGAGTATGAATGATGGGGGTGCGGAGTGGGGTGGCGGGCTCTAGTTTTGGCTCAGGTTAACTTACAGGACCAATAGTACACTGTTGTTCGTTCATGCCAAAGGTTATGTTCTGAAAATTCCTTGTAGTTTTATGTATTTATAGAAGTTGGGTACTTTGTTTATAAAAGTTGGGTACTTCGATGAAAATACACAAACCCTTTCACCAATGAATCCTACCCTTGGCAATCGTATGATGGAAGTAACAGCACATGTAAGGAATTTGTTTATATGTAAGGATCAGTTTATTCCAACATGGCTCATAGTGGCAATACAGAACAAATGAAAGGAGAGGGAGAAAGGGAAAAGACCCAAACCTGTAAACAAGGCAAATGTCCATTAAAAAGGGACTGCCCATTAAAATGGGATGAGTTGAATAAATAATGGTCCATCTACACCATGAAGTATCATTTAGCTATTAAAAATAATTAAAGCCATACCAGCTCACTTGTAATGATTTCCATTACCATGTGAGAAAAGCAGTGAAAAGTGTGTAATTACCATTTTAGTAAAATAATGCAAATAATGGCAAACCACCTGATGTGTACACACACACACACACACACACACACACAATTACCTGAGTAGATTAAAAGTTGGAAAGATATGTACTAGTTTGATATCTTGGGTGACCTAAGTGGAGGAATGTAATGTCACTTAACCATTTATTAAAACTGTGTGTGGATCTAAATTGACAAAAAATGAAGATAAAGAGGCTTCCTCTGAACAAGCTAGTAAATTGAATACCTTCCTTAGAGTTAATGAGGGTTGTTTGCTGCTTCCGAGAGAAAATGACACTGAACTTGCTTTACTTATCACTCCTGGTGGGGCAGGGCTCCCCCAAGCTCCTAGCACATCACTCGATGCCCTGTTGAGTCCTCCCACGAGATAATCCATACCAGTGTGCAGTGACACCTGCCTGACCTGGCTCCAACAACAGATAATAGATGGAGGTTATTTTGCCTGTTGATACATTTGCCTACATTTGACCAAGGTAGCGACCTCAGTGACAATCAAGAGCTACTTAATTCTAACCTTTCAAATTGATGACATATATTAAGTTATACTTCAATTTCCCTCCCTCCAATCAAAATTAGACATCTGTATTTCCCACCAGTAGTTAAATGCTTTCTATTTAAGATACCTCATGCCACACTGTTCTCCACCCCAACCTGTTTCCCTTAGAGATGAAACCAAACAAATATTTATTTTCCCCAGATTGCCCAAATATATCAAACACAAAATATCAAACATGACAAAAGTTTAAAAACAGTTTTGGCACGGTTTCTGTCACAAAGGGGGGAAAGCTGAATGTTGTCTCCCCCACTGAATATGGAACCCTTCTGAAGCCGCCCCCCTGCATTTTCACACAGGCGCTATGAACATACCCGCGATCTGAGTCTTTTCCTCTTCAGTGATGCACTACTTTTGTCTGGTCGGCGCACATCACACGCTCCATTTGAAAGGACTTCAAAATCAACCTACCAGTTCATTGCATCAGTGGCCCTTCATAGGTTACTCATTGAAGATATTCCAGATTCCAAATGTATGTATTCTTTCCTTCCAAGAGGTCAATACTTTTTAAAAGCTATATTATGTAAAGCTCATTAACTATTAAAATAGAAAAGTAGGGCCTGGCCAGTGTGGCTCAGTGGTGGGCGTCGACCCATGCACCAAGAGGTTGCCAGTTTGATTCCCGGTCAGGGTACATGCCCAGGTTGGGGGCCTGATCCCCAGTGGGGGGCAAGGAGGCAGCCAATTGATGTTCTCACTCATTGATGTTTCTCTCTCTCTCTCTCTCCCCCTCTCCCTCTCTAAAGTCAATAAAGAATAAATAAAACAGAAAAGTAGGAAAAGGACTGGAATTATAATTTGCAGTTTGCAAATAATTCCCCAAATCTTTTTAAGGATTTCATTAATGTATACTTTCAGCTGCCTGAAGGAGCAGAAGGAATGCTGGCACTATAGACACACAGCCTGGAAGTTAGGACGTTTCAACACTCACAAAGGGAGGCATAACCCCACATCGTCGCCAGGAGTCCTCGGAGGCAGTCTGATAGGGCTGGAGAGCCTAACCACTACTCTGTACTGCCTGTAGATGTTACTATTTTAGGCTTTTATCTATTACTTTTCCATCTTACTAGGACTCTGTCCTGCTTGTAGATGTTACTATTGTAGATTTTCTCTATTTCCTTTCTATTAGGACTAAGTGGTTATCACAGATTTGACTGTGCCTTAAATTCATATTTAAACTGAGAGTAAAGGAGAAATAAATCAACAGATTTGCAAAGGATTTTAGTAACAAACATTTCATTCATAATAACCTCAATAGAAATGTTATAAAAAAATTTCTGACTTAAAGCTAAACCTAGTGCCGATTTGTAGTTATCCTACAGTCTACTCCCCAAGCTCAAAAGGATCCATATCTTTCTTGTATTTCTGTTAGGCCAGACAACCTGAATGGAGCACTCTCATTCCAATATTTTTCATTGCACGTAAAGGCAGGACTTAAAGGTTAAAGCTGGAACCCAAATCTCAGAGAACACATTGATCCAAAAAGGACTGCTTCTCATTAGCTTCAGCTCCATTTTAAATCTGACCCTGAGAAAAAGTGAAAACCAAGTGTGGGGATAAATATTTCCACCTAGAAGATAAACTCAGTAAAGTAGGTTAGCTAAAATCACTGGGTATGTTTAAAAGCATATGACTCCCCTTAATCAGCTATGCCCTATGTTAAAATATCATGTAACCTAATAGACAGTGGCCATTCAGTTACGTAGCTGCCTTAATTCTGTCATTGGCCCTCATACCAAAGTTGTCTACGTCTAGCTCTCAGCATCTCCATCTGTAAGTGTCTAAGACAAAGAATTAAAGTCACATTAAATCATCTATAATTTAGTCCTTAAATATAATTGCTAATTACAATTATAATATAAAGAATATTATTTTAGATAATCATATATTTAAATTATTCAGTAATTTTAGGAAGTTATATCCTAAACTGTATTTGTATGTTTGAATTCCTTTTCATATTAAAAAAATTCTTAAGGAAGACTTGGTCAATTCTTGAATTCTAAACCAAATTCTCCTTTTGATTATTACCTGCAAAGATTGATTAGTGTACCTCAAATATTTTCACAGGTATCAAGAATGCATTTATTCTTCAAGGTCCAAAACATGAGTGGATTTGTGCCACAGAAGCTGAGGATGACAAGTTCCTATGGTTGTCAGTACTCCAAAATACAATCAAACGTACCATGGAAAAGTGAGACTTGAGTTTAACATCAGGGCCGCCAATTCTCCAGGCGAAGACAGACAGCATCTATTTCCTGTTCCATGTTGTGTCCCATGAGAGGATGGCCCATAAGGCTCCTCCTAACTTTTCAACTTTATCATTTATGCTCAATTATGTGAAAGGTACAATAAGAACAATCTGAGTCCAAGATTTCGAACCACCTCCTTTGGTAGTTATTTTTCATAGACTATGTTAGATAGAGTTACCTGACTGACAAAACCTAAGACAGAACAAGCATATTGTATATTTCAAGTCTTCTTTTATGATCTAATAGAAAATAAAATCAGAATAAACAGGGTTTCTTAAATGACCAGTCTGGAGAAATACTTTAATTTGTTGGTGATTTACCAATCATCTTTAACATTTTCATGAACTATTAATGAAAAAATACGTATAGGAAATATAAATGGCAATTTACTAAAAAAGTTGTCACATATATCCTCAATATGAATGTACTCTTCCAGACAGCATTAAAAATATACCATTTCAAAGTACTAAAAAGTTTTCTGTAATTTTTAAATGTTCTTTGGTTGCAAAATAAAATTCTGAGACCTTCCAAATAAAAAGTTTTAAAAATTTGTGACACTGTTAAGTTAAAAGGCCATTGAAAAGAAAAAAACTTAAAAAAAACAACAAAAATAAATGGAAGCCTACCAAAACTTACCTGTAGTGGAATTTACTTGAACAAAAATAAAGAAATTAAACAAATCTATTTCAGAACAGAGAAACAGCAAAACAGGTGTTGAGCTGAGTAGTTTCCTGGGCTGTTCTTTAAAGTCTTCATTTTATTATTTAACAAACTGAAGCCATAACTGAAGGTACTTGGAAACTTCAGCTGATATATGTAATAATATTTTTATTTAGTTAATGGTAGATAAAAGTTATATTAATCTAGAAAGCTTTTGGTTGTCAGTTTCCTTTTTGCTTCATATTCTCCTTTAAGTTAATAAAATCTATTAGTACACTAAAGGATTGTGAACTAGGGTATTTTAAAACTTTTCTATTTTCAACAATGAAAATATAAATTTCTTCTAATTCTTAAAAATTTAAATCCTTTTTAAAACTACAAACCTAAAATATAGTGTAAAAATCACACTTTTGATTCTGTTATGATATATCCATGCAGCTTAACATCTATGATCAGACAGAATAACCTATTAAAGGGAACATTTGTTGTTAGTCAGCAATGAATGCAAATTTACAAATTTGATCAAAATGTATATATATCATATGGTCTGAAACAAATCCTAAGACAGTGTATCATCCTAAATAGGGCATGCTTCAGAAACTGTTAATGGGAAAAACCTGTCTACATGGTAAAAGAGTGAGTGACAAGACAGCTGAAGGTAAATTAGAACTCCTAAGGAATTTATTCTGTGAATAATTAACATCCTCAGAGGTTTTAAAACATATTACTTAAAAATAATCTCTGCAGCCCAGCTGGTGTGACTCAGTGGGTTGAACGTTGTCCCATGGACCTACAGGTCCTGGTTCGATTCCCAGTCAGGGCACATGCCCAGTAGGGGGTGTGCAGGAGGCAGCTAACTGATGTTTCTCACATCAGTTTCTATCTCTCTCTCTAAAAAAATCAATAAAAACATATTAAAAAATTAAAAATATGTATCTGTAAAGACCGATGAGTATAAGCTTTCAATTGAGAATTAAGTGTATAAATCGTGCAAAAAGTGGTGATATGTTAAGCTTCCAAGTGGATGGTACTTATGTTCTTTGTGGTTCAACACTTTCCCTTTACTTTTAGAATATAATTAAGAAAGGTCTGTCTTCAGAGCTATTTCATAAGATTGCTGCTGAATTAAAATCTCACACACAAAAATTTTAAGTCACTGGTAAAACTGATCAAATTTTCATAACGAATACACAGACTCTGACCCTAAGTTGACACGGAAGACTTGAAAGTACCACATGACTTCAGAGAATGTTGATTACTGCAGAGCATGATTAAAGAATGCCTTCTCCAACAGAGTTCTTTCAAAATTTAAAGATTTTTACAAAACAAATAGATGCTTTATGTGAAACATTGAACCTAAAAGACAAACTTTACTTAATTTTGTCTCCTTTTGCAAATATGCTTGAGATGTAACGAGAAGCTCATTCTGTAAATCAAATCAGTGTGTAGTTTGGGCCATATAAGTCTAATGGACCCATGTTATGAAATCACTGATGCTTTGGAATAACAAGGGTGGGCTGTGCCAACAAACACAATATACCTTCCAGAAAAAGTCATCCTGACCCTTTTATTGTTGAAATTAAAAAATAAAAGATACTTAAATACAATGGTGAACATATAGGGCAAAACAGAATCATAAAATTTAATGTTGAATTAAGCAGTGAGCTGAATGTTTGGGTCTCCAAACTGGCTTGAACCCAAAACTGCTTAAAAATGGGTATGTTCACAGTTAACGGCAATTGGCTTATAGGTGAGAGAATGGTCGAAGTTGTTCCAGTTGAACTTCCAGGGAAATTCTCTCCTCAAGAACATCCTGAAAAAGATGTAAAGCCAAGTTATGTTTCCACATCTATAAAAATGAAGGCACATCTAACAACAGGTCTGCATCCAAAATAACAATTTAAATTTGTTAAGAAGATGAAGGGACAGCTGTTCATTATTTAAAAAGTACTTCACTTTAGAAATGTTTCTTTATGTAAATAATATTAAAATGCTATTAAAATATTTTTATTATATAAATCAGGGTATAAGTGTTTTTTGTTGATTATTAGAAAAGCCAGTCTTTGCCAACGATGGCTACCCTGCGTGCACCCTGCGCGAAGGAGCTGCTGCAGCCCTGCAGGTGAGTCCGTTCACAGCTTCCTTCCCCCGGAGAGCAGCTCTGCTTACAGCAGTGCCTGGACCTCCGTTTCGAGTTTCAGTTTCTCAAAGAATAAATTCACTTTGCAATCAGAATTTCTTTTTTTTTTATCCTCACCCGAGGACATTTTTCCATTTTTTGTTCAGACAGAGCGGGAGGGAGAGAGAGGAAGAGAGAGAGAGAGAAACATCGACGTGAAGGGACACATCGAGTGGCTGCCACCCGCACGACCAACCAGGGCCGGGGACAAACTGCAACCGAGGTACATGCCCTTAGCGGGAACCGAACCCGGGTCTCTCTGTACCTCAGGCCGACGCTCCAACCGCTGAGCCAAACCGGCCAGGGCTGCAATCAGAATTTCTAATCACCGTTGATCTTAAGCTGTCTTTTCAGATAGCCAGCAAATTCAAATTTACCTTTTTTCCTTCTAGCATACTGATAGTATCATATTTTAACCAGAGCCACCTTTTCCTGTTGGCACCATACTTCCTATTTTCTGTTCTCAGAGATAATGAGAAAAGTGATTCTTAAAATGGCTCCTATATACAAATTTCTATGGTTTTCTTTAGTTCTTTAGAAAAACACTCAACAAAATTTTCATCTTCAGTATGGTACTACATACACAACCTTGTCCTTAGTTTTATATTCTTCCTTTACAACAAAACAAATTTATAATCGTAACAACTACAAACATCTTCTTTTATCACAGAATTCTAAAATATCATTTATTCAACAGACATTTATTAAGTGCCTAATACGATACTGTCATTTATAAGAGAGATACATTGGTCATTCAGATGACCAAACTGTATTTCTCATATATATTTTGTCTTCATCCACAGTTCCTGGCTCACAGATTCCAAAAAACCTAGGAATTTCCCCAATATCTGGGGGTGGGGGAAGAAGGTTCTCTGTCGTAGCGATGAAGATGACTTTCGGAAAGCACCGAAGTCTGGTTGCCAGGAGAACTGACCAAGTGATGAGAAAGTTGGAACTTTCATTCCCACCCCCAGACTGAAGGCTGAATCAATAGCCAATGGCCAGGGATTTTATCAATCATACCTAAGTAATGAAACTTCTGTAAAACCCCCAAAAACCACATGTGGAGAGCTTGTGGATTGGCGAGCACACAGAGATGGGGGAGAGGGCCACCCGAAGAGGGCATGGAACCTCTGCGCCTCCTTCCCACATCCCTTGCCCTATAATCTCTTCCATGGCTGTTCCGAGCTATAGCCTCTTATAATCCAGTGTTCTAGTAAGGGACACATTGCTGAGTCCCGTGAGCCTTTCTAGCAAATTAATTGAACCCATGGGGCTTTGAGAACCTATCATTTATAACCAGTTGGTCAGGAGTACCAGTAACAACCTGGACTTGTAGATTGGCATTCTTAGTTGGGGGGGTTGGGGGAGGAGGGGTCACTGGAACCTCCATCTATAGCCAGTTGATTCAGAAACTTTTAATCTGTGGAATCTAATGTTATCTCCAGGTAGAGAGTGTCAGAATTGAGTCGAATTCTCATACACCTGCCAGTGTCAGAATTGTTTGTTGGCTTGAAGGGGGGGGGGGGGACACGCCTCCCCACATTGGAATGGTGCCTGGGAACCCTAAAAATCTAACATGTGCTAGGTTTAGGGGATAGAGACAAGATGGTTATAAGTTTATCTAGGACAATTCTAGTTTACCTCTGATGTCCTGGCCTAAGTACTAATACATCCCTCCCTCCTCTTTCTCAAAAGTATCTTGGTTTGGACATAAATTATAGTCACCCTAAACAGAAATCATTATAATTTACCCTCAACGAGTTCAGTTTAGTAGGGCAGAGACGAATGTACCACAGATAACAACTCCAGGACAGTGTGATAAATGCTGGATGAGGGATATGAACAAAATATTATGGAAATGAACGAACTCTGCATTCATTTTACATTTCTGCAAACGCTTTTCTACTTATCTTTGTGGTTGACAACCTTGCTACCCAAAGTGGGGCCAGCAGCATCTTCAATACCTGCAAGCTTTTTAGAAACGCAGAATTCTCAGGGTCCACTCCATACTTAATATGAATCAGAATTTGCATTTAAGATGACCCCAGATTAACTGTATACACATTAAGGTTTGAGAACCATGGTTTATAAAACATGAATGCTTAACAATGTTAAGCCACAAGTGACTCTGGCGGCTAATTTTT